ACTGGATTTAAAACTTAAAGGTCCAATGAAATATTTAAAATTTACACTCCGTTACTAACTTCTTCTATGCTCAACGTACTGGAAACCGCTATCAATACCGCAACTTCAATAACTGAAATTATATGCAGACCTGTAAAATCAACAATCTTAAACGGACACCTGTCCACCAAATTTCTACTAAAAGGAATAGAACCAGAAATATCCCTAGAATCTTTTGCTCCCAAAATAACGACCAATTCTAGCCTAAAAGTTCTTGAACTAATAAGACCCTAAATGCACCCTCGAACACCATCACAATGAATAACATAGTGCCTTGGCACAAGCAAACGCGTTCGCTGCCTTCTACTCTAAACCATAAACTAAAAACAGCCTCCCCTTGGACTTAACGCAGCGAACCAGATATTCAACCAACTCTTCACCAGGACCAGATAAAATTCCTTTAAAAGTGCTGTGCTCTCTCTCTCAAAGGAAACTCTAGGATAAGTTGTAATGTATTTGGGTTTCTGGAAAAATCTTAGACTCCTTAAAACTACCCCGCGTCATTCTAATCCATAAAAAAGCAAACCGACGGACCTTGTGTCATCTTACTGACCTATCACTAACATTTACTCTGAGTAAAATTCTCGAACGTATGCTTCTAAAACGGCTCCTGACTTTTCAATAAGGATTGGTGTCTTCCACTTTCATCAATGCGGATCCCCCCCCCCATTTAAAGGGGTAGATTCAGTACTTACCATCCTCCATCATGAAGTCCTGCGGGCTTCGTAAGAAAAGAAATTTGTAATGTGCTAAAATAATCCGGTATAACTGGCAGAGTTGCTCTCTTCACAATTTTGTCAAACTCAGCCATGCGGTGGCAGAATTTACTATCAGCCAATTTTCAGCAATTTTAACTACGGAACAGAGGTGTTCTGCAGGGATCAGTTCTTTCCCCTTTCCTCTTCATGATTTGCATATCTGACCTCTATCTTGTTCTCTCTGCTAACATATTATGTCTCATCTTTGGGGACAATATCTACCTTCTTGCAGTTGCAGAAATCATTTATAAAGTGAATCAAAAGATGCAATTTTCTCTCCTCCAAATTAAATGGTGCAAGGATTCAAACTTTTAAATTGTCTCGGCAAAAAGTACCGCAATTAATTAATCTGGAAGACGATGGTTGCTGAAACTTTCAGTCTTAATATCTTCAACAAACCCATCCCTCGTGGGTCCAAAACCTTCGTATTCTTGGCCTATATTTCTTTAGCAACGTGACCTTCCACTATCATTTTAGGGAATTAAAACAGAAAATACGAAAACTGTCTGCGTTTCACTCCGATTCACCGATGAACCTCTAGCACACGTTGGGGTGCTTAATCAGATCACCTATTTCGAACTGTCAATTCATGCATTAAGAGTGTCCTTGACTTCGATAGCCACATCTTTTCTTTTTCAAACCAAACGAGTCTACGAACCTTCGACACATTATATAATGCTACACTTCGAGTAGCAACAGGTTTACCATGATGGACACCCATTCCACTACTTTTCAAAGAAGCGGGAGTGAGTACATTAGCTTCACGACATAAGTGGCTTTCTGCAAAATTTTACTTTCGTCTCATCTGCCTCCAATTATCCTCATCAGCTTACCATCACTTACATCTCCCTCCTTCCCGCTTTCCACAAGGTAAAATGACTCAGCTTATACCATCCATGCATAAATGGATGACCAGCAAGAACATTTCTCAAGATAACATTGAATATCACACTCTAACTCAAATCCTTTCAAAATGTGTCCCGCAGTGGACTTATCGTTAAGACACGGTTCTTAGCAGATTACCGAAGTCAAGCATCACTCTCTGCTGTCAGTGAGCGGGTGGGTGACCACTTGGATCAATCTGTGCAGGGACCGAGGGTTTGCGGTATTGGTCCTCGTTAAACTGTTCTACCGTAAAGTGCTCGGCTTCACTTGCAGGTCGTCGGGCTACCGAAGTGGGGGTGCCACCCCCTCTGCAAAGAATCAAAATTGTGATGGCATGTCTTCGGATCATTCTCAGGTATGTTTCCCACACCGTTGCCAACAGCCCATTGTGCAGCTCTAGTGTGACGTAATAGTGCTAAGCAAGTAAAAAAATGCAGAATCAAACAGAAAAACTTCCTCTGAATAAACATAGTTTTTTGTTATTAGATTTTGAATCTTAATCCTTAAATTATAGTGATAACCGCCATCTTTAAAATATGCATGGCCTCACTAGTTAAATCAGAAAAGTGACCAAAATTGTCTACANCCCTCTGCAGAGGATCAAAATTGTGATGGCATGTCTTCGGATCATCCTCAGGTATGTTTCCCAGACCGTCACCAATAGCCCANTGTTTCCCAGACAGTCGCCAATAGCCCATTGTGCAGCTCTAGTGCGACGTAAATGAACTACAACAACTATAACCCTTCAAAATGTTTTCATTTATATTTATTATTTAAATTATATATAATTTGCAATTTCGAACCAAAAATTTTGTCCCGTTGCAGATTCGAGCTTCGTTAGAAGATTTTCGCCGTTAGAATCTTTCTTTCGTCACATCTTTCTTTCATCGCATCGTTCTGGCTACCGATGGATCCAAACAATCAGACAAAATTGGAGTGGGAATGTTCTACTTCCAGAGGTTACACTATTTCAGGTCAACTTCTTCCGCATACATCGGTCTTTACCGCCATAGGACGGACCGTTTTCCTCGCCTCAAACATTGCGTTACCAGCAACGACCACTATATTTTTCTAACGGACAGCTGTTCGGTTCTTCTATTTCATTGAAATTACATACATTCGCAGGCTTGCTCGATCCTTCTGTCTACCAACTTGCAAAACAAGTGCCAAAGCAAAATTTCATTTCACATTTTTCCTCACCTCAAGACCTTAGCCAAACCTTCCTTAAGGAACTTAGTGTATAGAAAGGTTGAAAATGTTTCTTTTCTTTTCCTCACCTTGATGAATCTCAAGATTACCACCCTCTTATCAATTCCCGAAATCTTGGTATACTAATTGCCAGACCCAGAACTAAATCTCTTTTCGACAAACGTGATCTTACAAGTGCAATATGATACATAGCCCGAATCTCCCGAGTTACGATGAGGTGTTGACACGAACAATCCCTCTCCTGGTCCCTCTTTCTAGAAAGCTCGTAAAGATCTCAGGATCGAGATACCCACACAGCGTCACTAACAGAAGTTCAATTCAGAACGCTCGGAAATCTCGAGAATTTCAAGCCACAAACCGTTTCTGACTTTTCACTGCAACTTTCTGCTATCTATTTAGCCTCAACCATAATCTTCATTAATGGAAATACAAAGCTATAAGCTAACGCTCAGAGCTCGTCGCACTTTTCTACAATTATTGTGTTTAGGCTGACTTAGGTTGTTAGGTGAAAATGTTTAATGCTTATTCATATTCTTTATTTTAATTTATAACTGTAATTCTGTATCAGAATTTTTTCAGGCTTTCTGCCACGTACCTCTCTAATACTAATATCTTTCTTCAAGATATTTAACATAACAAGTATACAAACTTCAAAAAAATTAAATAAATAACAATTGGATCAAATAAATTTTTTTTAAAATTAAATATGTGATTTTTTTTATTCTAATATTATGGGTGATATTCTCGCATTTTGTAGAACGATAACGCGCTAATTATTTTCCTTTTTAGATAATACACTAATTATTTCCTTTTTCGCATCATCACATTAAAAAAATAAAATCTGTAGCAGTGACTGCTGAAAAAAAAAAGATAGAACCCCTTTTTGAAGTGGACTCTTCAAAAAAGGGACTGCTAAATGTGTGTTTTCATTTCAAGATTTACTTGTTTTGATAAATAATATCAGATTTTAAAAGCTGTGTGGAAATCTGTAGTAATAACTGCATAAAAAATTAGAACGAAAATTTCCACAGAAAAGAAAATTAAATTTTTTACTTCATTATTCTTTATTTTTCATTATTCTACAATGAGAATACAAAAGTCTCAAACATTTTTTTTCCCACTCCGATGCACAAGAAAAGTATCTTTTGAATATAATTCTGTAGAAAAGATGAAATCTTTCAAAAATTTCTGCAGAAAGAAAATGCAAAATTTTTTATTTCCCAAAGGAAAAATCCTTCTGCAAGAACTCAGTAACGATCTGCAAGAACGTCGCCGTGTTGCCACGATTCTGCCACTGGGAACTATATCAGTTGCTGTATTTTAAACCAAATAAATTGTTAACTTTGAGAAGCATTATAAAGGAAATGCTTTCATAAAACCTGATTCTAATCTATCAAAATTATTTTGCTAGTATTTTTTTTCAGCAAACTAAATTTAAAACTGTTGTTATTGTACCTAATTTTGTATTTTTGCTCTTGGCTCATTAAATAACTGATTATTATGTTTCTATAATGTATTTAAATCACTCTGATTAGATAAATAACAATTTTATATGTGAATAGCATCTTAAGATAGGGATGTTTTTATGCAAAATAAAATTCTTTTACGTGTTAAATTTTCTTTAATTATTTTATTTCATTTGTGAGGTCTTATATTCTCATAGAATTTTTGAATAAACTCAATAAAATCAAAAACATAGCCCAATTATTATATTTGTTTTCTTATTCTTGAAATTGTCAGATTTCTGTTTTGTTGTTATTATTTGAAATATTTTTTTTCTTGTAAAATTTTAATGCTTTGCAACTGGATAAAATTCGACTTATAATTCGGGATTAATTTAAACAATACAGTTGAAATAAAGATGTCTAAACAGGGCTCTAAATTAATTTTCTGGGGACCACAAAAATTTAATCCTTACCATCCTAAAATAAATTATCAGTGGTCTACCTGATCCGCAATCCATGTCAAGTTATGCTAAAGATTTTATTTTGCCACAAAACGCCATATTTTAGCATAATTGTGACATTTCACATTAATTGTATTATAATTTTTCATTCATACTTTATTTTTTATTTTATAATTAAATTTGTTTTATGTGATTTTGTTTAGGCTCTTCTAGTCTTTGGCAAAGATGATGCACAAAGTGACGCTATTAAATGGGCTGCTGAAAAATTATGTTGTGAGTGCACCATAGCATATACAGCTGAAACTGCCACAGAATCATTTCAAAGCATTCATCCTCATCTTGTATTTATTGACTCAAGACAGTCGAAATTCTTCGATTCCATAGCATTGTGCAGGTTTTATTATTTTTGTAAATCTATAAATCATTCAAATTTATTAAATAGATAGATGTCAATTTACTGGATTATTAGTAGATTTTGAATTTTGCCTTTTTTTTTTCTAGTTCAATCAAACATTTTCCAGTTATTTTCATTTTTATTTTAACGAAAATTCCCTAAATTTAAAAAAAGTTCCTGAAAAATGTTTACCAAAATAGATCTTTTTTTGCTTGCTCTATTGAGAATTTAAATAAGTAAATTGCTTATTATATAATGAAGTGTAACATAAACTGAGGCAAGTGGGTGAGCACCGTCTCATGTATAATTATTAATTAGAAACTGTTATTTTAATAAACCAAACGTTTTTGTTGAGAATTTTATATTTTTAATTAGTTATATTATGAATAATATACTTCCCAATTATCTAAAATGAAAGCAATAACTTTTACTATTAAAGATTAGGAATTGAAAAATATAATAAATGTAATTAAAAAAGTTGGTTACTAAACCACAATTGGGAAAACAAAATTAGAATTGAGAAAATATCAATAACAAATTTTTATTAAGTCTATTCTAACAACTGGCAAAGTTGATTTTGAATATTAATGTCTTTACATTCACATAGAAGTAAATTTAAATTTGTAGTTATTGGTGTATTATAGCTTTTAGATATATGTTTTTTATTGATATAAAGATCTCTAAAATTGCCCAATGAAAGAATGATATATATATTGCTCAATAAGTACTTATTATAAAATTTGTATTTACTAAAAGCTATTTTTTTCTTCTTACTTTCATATCTAATTATTTATGTATACATATCAGGGATCTATCTAGGCCAAATTTACTATCTTTTAGTGGTACCTTCACAAATTCAACTTTAGGAAACATTAAATACTTTTTTTAAAAATGTTATTTTTGTATCCCGTAGGAAACGACAAGTTGATATTTTTACCATATTTTTGTGTTGATTTTTTAATATAATATTTAATTTTCACAAAATATGTCTGAATTTTCACAAAATAGGTATCTCTCAGAAAAACCTAGACAGACCCCTGTTTATGTATGTTTATAATTGAAAAAAAATTACATTTTTTTATATAGTTAAAAAAAAAGATTTCAAAATTTACTTTTTTAAATTTAATGTAAAATGATTGAAAATTTTTTTGTTAAATCTATGTTTATTTTGTAGATCACTTCATAGTCTTCAGGGAAGTCAATACAGTTGTCTGGTTGCCATTGTCAAAAAGAGGTAAAAAGACAGTTTTTTTTTGTTGCTCTTTTTATTTCTCTCTCTCTTTTTTTTTAAATGATGTCATATGAATTTAAAAATTTTTTCAGCGCTGTTGAAAAAGAAGATGGTTCTATGTCCCACTACCTTCGATCTGGATTCACAAGGGTAATTTTTTTTAATATTGCTTTATGTAAGTTATCACAGATTAGAAAATTATGTATATTTTACAACTTTGCTTTAAAATGTAATAATGTTTTGTTAAAGTACCCTCAAAAGTTGTCGTTATAAGATGTTTCAATCATTAGCTGGGGTCTGTGCAGGGCAAATTTACTATCATTTTGCTGTACCTTCACAAATTCAACTGAAGGAAAAATGGTTGTTTCAAATATACTTTCTAAAAAGCAGGTTCTAAGATTCACCTCCCCATCTCTTAAAATTTTGTGTTTGTATCCCCTTAGAAAACGATAAATCCAGGGTTAATTACACATTTCGACTTGCAATGGTGCCCTCCTGTAAATTGCTATTATGACACAGTAGAAGAATTCGTTTCCCATCCGGTTTGTAAGAAGAGCGCTTTTCTTCCCCATGCCTGACTGAGAGCATGCCAGGATCCTGAATTGGCGTAGGAGAAAAGGAGCATCAGCCACCCTGTTCCTTAATTGGAGTGGAAGAAAAGACACTAGTACCATGCAAACCCCATTGCAATCTATGGAAAAAAGGAGCTTTCTTCTGCAAATAGGTAGCATTGTATTTGGTCAGATAGTGCAGTGTGGTAAGCCTAACCAGTCGCTTAGGCCACATTATTTTGCCGAGTTTTTTCAAATGAAATGACGAGGTTTTCCCCATGTAAACTTTATTTGAAGTTGAAATTCTAACTATTATTTTAAACAATACTCAAAATTCATTCTAACAGACCTTTATTTTTTTTATGAAACATTTTTTTTTCCTCTCTGTGAAACTTTTTTCTGTATTACCCAGTCAAAAATGCTCTCAGAATGAAAATAACTTTTATTGCTAGTACTGTTAAATGCATGTTTTTATGAAATTCAAGTTGAAATTTAACTATGGTTAATGATTTTTATGGATTTTTAAATTTGGATGCAATTTAAAAAATGTATAGAAATTTACCAGTCATTAATGATTTCTATTCGTAGTGACAATTTTTGAAAATATTTTCTTGCCTTACTATATTTTTGTGTTGATTTTTTAATAGAATTTTTAAATTTCAGATTTATGTCTAAATTTTCACAAAATAGGTACCTCTAAAAAAAAAAAAAAAGCCTAAACAGACCCCTGATTAGGCAGGGTAGTAATTTTTTTTAAAAAATGAATTGATTATTAAATTTTTTTTGTGTGAATGGAAAGTTTACTAAAATTTTAAAAGTTAATAATTAAAGCAGTATTTCTCACTCTCTCCTGCCTTGTATTTCTCAATTAAACTTTTTCAAATTAATCTCACTTGAATTTGTTAATAATTATAAAAAGTGTGCTTAGATCATATTTAATGAACAAGGAAGAAGAACAGTTCATGTCCACTTTTCACAAAAATGACAATTAGATCACCATCAGTTGGATTTTAAGGATTTATATCTTTTGACAAATAAATAACCAGGAAAAGTGGTTCTCTCAGATAATTGTTACATACTGAAGATGAGGTGTACAGGGGGAAAATAAGTTCCTGTTCTCGTAAAAATTTGTTTTTTCTTCTTTTCAGAATCAGATTTGTTGGTAATTACGCACTTAGCGAATAAAAGGTAGCAGAGAAAATATTGCTTACCTTTGGTTGGTGCATGGTCACTTGTGTTTACTTTAACAGTGTTGGCGTACCTGGTTCGACTTACTCAAGATAACTAAGGCATTATTAATTCACTAAAAAAGGTCAGATTGCCTTTTAAGATGAGAGTTTATTATTAAATAAACATAATTTGCAAGTAGGCAAGCTAGTGCTGTTAACAAGAAGGATAGATGAGTAGTGAATGAAAGTTATACATTTCATAATTGAACAGCGCCATCCAGTGGATTGATTTCCTTTGACTGTTTTCATAAGCAGTGATCCTTTTATTGTTTTCATAAACTGCTACTTAAAATTCTACATATTGTTCTTCAACAAGCCACTTTGCCGAACTTAAAGTAGCAGGTTATGCAGACAAAAAAAATTATACAGAGGGAGAAAAATAAAGCATTGTTAAAGGCTTTTTCATCTTTTGAATTGGCAGTCAAAAATTACGATTCCTTCGTCAACAAGAATTAAAACAAAAAAATTAAAATTAAGTATTTTCTTTTTAAGTATAATTTAAACTGCAACCAAATTGGCGGTAATGGTAACACTTTTAAATAGCAGATGAATAATTAATTACAAAAAGAATCTCAAACTGTAATAGATAACAAAATTTAAAGGATTAATACATGTTTATTTTTTCTAGGCTGAAGAGAAAGAGATCTCCTTTTATCAGTCACAAAACGAAATTAAAAATATATAAGATCTGTTTTAATGACTGCAAATGAAATTTGTATTATAAACAAAGGCAATTATGTTATACTTTTGTCTATTCAAATTTAATTCTTTTTGTTTATTTTTATTAATGTGCAAGTAATGTCGATTATATTGTTTCGTTAGTTAATCTAACTATAACTATGGAGTATGCGAATAACATACTTATAATTAAAGCCTGAATTTTGATGACTTAAAAAGTCCACATAAATGCCCTTAAAAAAGGGCAGAAAATTTCTTTTAAAATACCCCATTATTTAAGTAAAAATATTAATTTAAAACATGCTTTTCTCTTTCATTTTACTTTCATTCATGTCAAAACATATGAAACAATGCAGTACATATTCTTCATTCATTAAAGTTTGAAATAAATGTTATATACTAAAATTACAAAAACCGAAAATATATTCTTAAAAAATTCTCTAAAATGCGAAAAATTGAGCTGGAATTTTAAAAAATATCCTAAATATTTAAAAATATGTCCTAATAGAGAAAAAATATCCATAAATGCTAAAAATTCAGAAAAAGGCAAATGATATTGTAAACCAGAAGCATTTTGTTACGTAAGTCCTTCAGTCGTTTGATTTCTTCAGAAAAGGTAACATTCATTATTTAAAAATATTTTAACACGAAGATCACAACATAAACGCAATGCAAAGCGAAAGAAATAATGTGATTTTTCTTTTTACAAGAGAGGCAGGAAAAGAATTAAAAAATACTTCCAATCAAGAAGTATTTTTTTAATTTTGATTCACATAAAGCTTCTGTGCAAAAACTGTTCAAGTTCAACTGTTTCAATTGAGAAAAAGATTAAATAATGTTGATATCTGCAGAATTAAAACTTTTATCTATATCTCATGAAAAATTATTCAGTGGCACTATCATTTATTTTTCTTGTCATCAGTGCTGTTTAAATTCCTATTATTCCAATTAATAATTTTTATTTACACTTTCCAATCCATAATTATCTTGAATTTTTAATAAGATTATTAACTAATCCATTAAAATAAAACTTGTAATTTTTATTTTTTGTTTAATTCATTTGAAAACTTTTATGCACACATAATAAGTTAAGATTGAAAAAAATTAACAATTTCACTGCTAAGAATAGCAGTAAATAAGAGTCATTTACTGTAACTTCATTTTCTGTTACTAATTTATATGCAAATTTTAAAATTAGGATTAAAATTATGCTAATTTAAATCATGGCAATCTGTAAAAAAAAACTTACTCTGAAAATCTCAGTTATTTGGGTTTTGTATAGAGAGTGGCCACCTTGTAAACAGTTCTTATTCATTATGATTAAAATGGTTATAGATGTATTAAAATTAAATTGTTCTCAATTTAACTTTTTCTAAATTATTTCTGAAATACAATAAATCTAAAAAACCATTTTTTTAAATGCATTCCAGCATTTTGTTGCTAGTTTAAATTTTCTTTATTATTTTATATTATTATATTAATTGTTTTATTGCTTAGTTTCCTAAATTTCTTTTTTTTTTTTTTTTTTTTTANATTTCTTTCTTTTTTTTTTTTTTTTTTAGTGGTTTGTGGAGAGTAGCAACCTTGGATATTGTCTGAATGAGCTCATACAAATTCATCATACTGACATTTCATATTTTTTAAAACTGCGAGCATCACAAGCTCTCTTTACAGCTCTAGATAGCTGTAGAGAGGGAGTCATTGTCACTAATTTGGCTCATAACATTGAAGTAATAATTTATTTTATGCATAATTAATTCAAGTTCTTTTGTATTATAGTATCTCTTATATTTATTCAGTAATAGCTGCAAAATTTCCATTTATTAAAAAAAAAGAAATGAACTTAATTGCAATTCCTGATTCAAAATGTTCCATATTAGATATATTTGGTCATATAGATGATTTCTTTTAACTTTTAGAAAAGTTTAAAAAAATTTTATAGAAAAAATCAGTCAAGTATGAGGAATATCATGTACTGCTTCATGAAGACATAATTTACTAAGCCATGATAGAATAATTCATTTTTCTCTTGCATACTTTATTGAATGCATTAGGTACTGAATTCAATATTTCATGGCTGTAAAATACATCAGAGGATTAGGGATTTTATTCATACATTAAAAGAAATTATGCCTTCATAAAGATTTTTTATTTATTTTTTTGATAGAAACATTTATTGCATTACGCAAAAAGAAAACAATTGAAACATCTTCAGTTTACCTAAAAATATTGTTGCTTAAACCAAAATTTTTTCTATCTGTAGGAATATATGATTTCAATAATAACAGCAAACATGAGTCTCTTTGGATTACATTTGAACTTTATTTAGCTTTTTAAAAATGTCATTTTAAAAAAAATCAAAGCATAATTTTTTTGAGTTTAGCGGAAATCAAGTACTCATACGTAATAATGTGCATTTAATGATTTTAACTTAGGCCCTTTTACACAGTTTAATTATTTACTTATAAAATAAGTTATAATAGCATTAGAAAAAATAAAATTTTTAAAGCTATTTTGATAACTTTAAATAAATAATCTCAGGAAAGTGCAGCAGTAAGATCTGACCTGATTAAAAAATTCATTTGCTTCAAAAATGTAGAATTAGGAAATAACCTGTGACATGTTTCAAGTGCTCAAAAATGGATGCCCATTTTTTAATGCTTGAAACATGTCAACTGTTATTTCCTATTTATATATTTTTGAAGTGAATGAAGTTTCTAATCAGGTAATAAAATGTTCTAGAAACTGTTTAAAGAATTGTTAGTTTCCACCTACAGTAGAGTCTCGATAATTCGAGGTGGATGTGACTAAGCCTACCTTGAACTTTCGAAAACTCAAATTATTAAAAAACATAATGTTTAAGAAATATTTAAATTAATGGAAACAGCAGTTTTTAAATTTCAGTATTTAATTGAAAAATATATTATGTTTAACTGTCATACTGCTCATGTTTCAGTGTTTAATGCACAAATTTGTTTTTCAATATTCAGTCATAGTAATTGTTGTAAAGCCAATTGTAGTAATTGTTCCATGTGTTGTGCATATGTTAAGAGCATGACTGATTTTTTTCATTAGCTCGGTTTTATCAGAAACTCGAACTATCGAGACTTTATATTGTATTTTCAGTACAATAGTACAATTTCTTCACATTATCAAAAATCTCAGCTTATTAAAGTAATAGAAAAATATTCTGTGTTAAAGCTATTCCCTTCATCCGTAACTTTAAAATTACTTTAATTCGGAATATAAATGTTTGACTCTATTCTAAACTATATTTACTTTTATATATTTATTTTGAACAATTGTGCAGTATAAGCAATTTATTGCTCAACTTTTTAAAGGACTAGAGAAAAAAACTAATTTGACGCACAGACTACATTTAATTTAGATTTTATGTGAATTAAATGGTATTATTTTATGTTTCATGTTTAATAGGAAAAATATGAATTTATCTTAAAAATGAAAGAATAAAAATTTAACAAATTACGTTCATTTACTTAAGTACGCGCGTAATATTTCTGTAGCTAAAATAAAAGTTAGTTTTGCTTACGTTGTCTTTTTAATAAAATTGAATGTTAGCTAGTTTTAAACAATTTTTTGCTATATGTAAAATATCCATATCTTTAATTTTTTAACTATTATTATTGAACTTCATATGTTTTGGCTAAAAAGGATCTTTATTAAAACAATTAAAGAGGCAAAAGGTGTTATTCTTTTTACACTTTAATTGATATCGCTGACTTTTGGAATTTTAAAACTATGCTATAAGAAAAATTGTTGTTAGATTCCAGAACATTTTGTTACTTTTTAAAAAAACCCTTTCTTTCACCTTTTTCTAATAGTGTAAAAGATGATGAAAAGATTTTCATCTAATTTTGAATTATTTTGATTTTTCTTGCTTAAATGGTATTACCAATCTAAAATAATCTTTAGTCTGGAAAAACTAATTAATAAATTTTTATTCTGCATTATAAAAGTAAACATTTCTATTTACCTAACATTATTTTTCTTATTTTAGCTACTTATTTATATTTTATTTTCAAATGTCTCAAAACTATGATCCAGTGACTTTGCTAGACTTTGAAAATTACTGGTTCTTAGGACTCTCTGTTTCCATGTTTTCCTTTTTACTAAAAGCAAGTGCCTATTTATGATATGAATTCTTACCTTTTCACCACCTATTAATATTCACATTCATAATTATTTATGATAAACAAAACAAAGAATTTTAAAACAAGACAAGAGTTATATTTGAAGTTGAACTGGAATATTTGAATAATACTATATTAATATAATATTATAATGTTTGAATTTGGATAGCATTAAGGAAAAACAAAAATATAATTTGGCACTCCAAATTGTTCTTTTTCCTTCCGGAAATTGGTTTGGTTATAATTATACCTGCACAAATGTGCTGTCACGTTTTTTTTCCAATATGGAGAATTATATGTCGTAACTTATTTTTCGTGCCCCTTCTAAGGATTTTATTTTCTGTTTTACTTATAGCACAAAGTGGAATCACTGATGATCATTGATTTAGTGCATTGACTTGTGCAAATTATAAAGTATTTTCAATATTTTTTTTATTTTTAATTAAAAGTAGCTGCAGGTTTTCTACCCACAATATTATTTATATTTAATATATTTTATCTCATGATTAATCAAATCAAAAGTTTTAAAGTATTATTTTTGTCATTATTAACAGTATGCCAACAAATCATCTGAAAAGTTTCTAGGATATACATCTAAGGATTTGATAGGAAGAAATGCCCAAACTTTGTGCAGAGCTGAGTCAGTCAAAGCAGATATCGCTGAGAGCATTAATATGCAGGTAAAGAAAGGAAAAGTGAGTACTTACTGTATTATTTGACATTGTTATTACAGATTTATATTGGAAGAAGATACAGGAGGTCAAATTGTAGTTTCAGACAAAGTTAATTAAATAGAGGAGTGTGATGAGGGACTATATGAAGTATTATCTAAAGCTAGGGTTCCCAATTTTTTTCAGCTATGAATGATACAAAATGATGTAAAAAAAATGATATAAAGTATTAAAAAAAAGTTTATTGGCAGTTGTGACTGTAATAACCAAAAAAGAAGAAAAGAAAGGACTACCTATTATTTTAAGAATATTTAATGTGAAGAATGACATATTTTTAGTTAAGAATTTGTTTTTGATGTATGTGTTGAAAATGAATAAAATGAGCTGAATTATTGTTACAAAAAAAGAGCTGTTATAAACGTTGCAAATAATAAGAGAAGAATTTAAGAGAATAAGCTACAAGAATAATTAAAATCTTCATTCTTGAATTTATTTTATTTTGAATTGAAAAGCTTCATAAGAAATACTGATGAATCTTTTTATAAATGCATATCCTTTTCATAATTTATTTAATATACTGTTATGAAAAATAAGAGTTTTTTTTGTTCGGAAATTTTGCTACTTTGTTTTTTATTGCCATTTAACATAAATGTAAATAATTGAAATATTAAATAAGTTATAGATTGCTGATTGAATATAAATATAATTATTACCGATTAAAAATCCTAACTCTCCATAGCTGGTTATAAAAATACCAAGTCTCAGAAGCCCTGTGATCCTTTCACAGATCTCTAAGGTTCACACACACCAATCACTTAAAGTTCCGAATGTTAACAAAGTTCTATCTTCATTCTTAATCATCTGAAATATTTTTTATACCTACTAATTAACATTTTTCTAGGTTTTATTCTTTATTCAAGGTACATTAGGCCCACACTTTTTTACCTATTGTTTTGAATATTAGTACTGTTTCTTATAAATTAGCTTAGTATGTTTTTTAAATTTTTCTAGACTTTCTCACATAAATATTTTATTGTTAAAAATTCAAATGATTTTGTAAATGATCACCATTTGCTTAAATCTAATGAACTGATAGTGGTTTCTATTGATGTAAAATCTTTATTCACTAGCATTACATGCCTTAATATGAGATTGCAAGAATTCCACTTTTAACAAATTGAATATGATGAACTAGTTCACCTTAGCATCAGTTGTTTAGGGAAATCCACTTTCACTTTTAATGGCCAATTTTATTGATGAATCTTGGCTTAGTTGCAACTTTAATACTTCAACTTCTGCAACTTTAATACTATTTGTGTAATAAAATATTTAAAAATAAAAATTTTTCACAATTGGTTAGGATCAAAAATATTTGCAATAATGTTGAAAGTCTTCGGGAAGCTGTGAATAATTTTTTAAATGATTTGAGTAATAATGATTTTCCTTTTGATTTGTGTAATGTTAATTTTTAATTAAAAAAATGATTGAAGATATCTAGGTTTTTGTTTTTTTCTTTTAACAGGGCGCAATTCAAGTCTTAACTGAGCAGCCCCAGTTAAGCATTCTATTAATTTGTTACGTATCTTATTTTTTGACTTCTTTTATTTCTATCTGCGCAGTGTAGTAGAGGGCATTGTTTTCTTTAGTTTTTAGTGCTTCCTTTTCATTCGGCTTGCTTGTGAAATCGGTGTTTGACCTGTAACTAAGTGAGTTTTTATTTTTCTAATGATTTTGTTTTAGTTTCTTTTCTTAATTTGTTATTTGTATTTCATGTTTTTTCCTGGACTTCTATACAAAACCATCGGGGTACTGGGGAGTTAATTTAGGCATTTGCTTCTCCCTCAATTAGAAATGGTTTTGTTTTTATGGCAACCGAGGCCGGTACCCCCTGATGACGTCGGCTTCGGTGGTCATATTTTTATTTTTATTTCCTTCATTTCCTTTATTGGCTTAGTTGAGTAATTGTCTTAATGACTTGTATATGCACTAAATTAAAATTGATCTTTTTTTAAAGTTTCTTTTTCATCGGGATGATTGTTTCCCATTGATGGGCAATGATGACCTTGATTATGTTTTTAATATCATTCATTGCATTTATTTCACGTTTGAACAAGAAACCTTTTTGTTTACCTTTTTCATATAATTTACCTTTCTTGGATAATCTACTTTTCTTAGATAATCTTATTATTTGTTATTGTGATGGGTTTCTCATTACTCTTTATTTAAAACTGTTCCACTCCCCATCACTCTAAATTCTCTTATTCAATTTAAAATGGTAGTTTGATAAGAATAAAAAAGGTTGTAGAATGACAATTCTTTTTGATAATAACTGATAAATTAGCAAAATAAAATTGATGATTGTTACTTATGGAATATTGCTTTATTAAGACTGGAATAATGACACTCTAAACTTATTAATTCAGTTGAAGAACGCAAGTACATTTACGGATCAGTATGTAGCAGATGTGTGGTGAATTGCAACTATAACTTTTTGCCCTGATATTGATTTGATGCTTTTAAGCAAAATATTAACAAACTTCCCCTTAAATCTGAAATATTATTTTGTAATGTAAGTAACCATCTACATTTATGGCTCAAAGTATTTTTTAAAAAGTACTTAATTTCGCTTAATTTTAAATACTTCAGAATGATTAGATTTAAAATACTTCATTTTATATTAATCTAAGAATTTTGCAATGCTAAAATTAGCTAATTTGTTTGACTATTGGATGTCATCATGACACGATAGCGTTGCGCCTTCAATTTCTTGCATTGATTAAGATATACAAATTAATGTCGAATTTAAAGTTGGCAATAACAGATTAAATTTCTAATGGTGTATTGTCGATGTTATGGAGAATAATTCATGTATAAATTATGTATGTTAATTTCTTTTTCTGAATAGTGATAATATGAATATTATTTTATTATTAAAAAATATTTAGCTATTTTATTTGCCATAAAAATAAAATTTGTTGGGCTATATCAATGTTTTAATAATTAAATTAATTATTGATAGAATCTGTTAAAGAGTTAAATATAAACAAACAGAAACCAATTCTGAAGTGCAGGAAGAATTTTTTCCTTCCTCAAAACAGAGCTCAATACATAGAAGTGGTTGAACCTCTTTCCTGGCTTCAAATGTCACCTTATTGTGAGGTTAATATTTATATTGAAAACAAAACAGAAGGCTTTGTCCCATTTTGGTTGTGTTTTGCTTTGCTATAAAATCTGATTCAACTTCTAATGTTTTCTTTGGGTTTTTGTTTAAACTTTTTATTATTAACCTTACTATAATCTAGCTTCTTTTTGTGATGTCACTGTCTGAACATGAAACTAATAGTGCATAAGTAAAATTAACTTTAATATTTTTAATAACAGCAATTATTCTTTTCATTTCAGGAATGGGAAGGAACCCTATTTCACAAAAGAAAATCTGGAGAAAATTTACCTTTATGGAGCAGAATTCAGCCTGTTGAAATATATGCTGGGTACAATATTTTATGTGACGATTTTTAAAAAAAAAAATGTATTGCTTTGATTGTTATTTTTATTTCATTCATGATCTGCATTTAAAAAATTTTAAATTCTGATATTTCTAAAAGTACAGATGTTTACAACACATATTTGATTGCTCTTTATTCGTTAAAAAAATTATGTCGGTTCAAATTTTTTACAGTTGTTTTATGACAAAATTGCGTTAACTTAATATCATATCTCATGTCTAATATCCCATGTGATCTTATAGCAGCTTAGTAAGATAGCACTTCAAAAGTTAGTTAGCTTTATTTATAAATCCTTTGAGGTTACAATTTTTATGAAATGATATCCAATGCTTGCATCCTGAAATTTAGACAGTGGATGAAAGAGGCAATATTAGCCCTCAATGCTAAAAATCATTTGTAAATTTCAGTTAGGTCGTTTTTAAGAGTTGTTTGAAAACGGAAATTTTCTCATTGGCTTTCTTTCAGAACTCTCCATTCATATAAATTAAACTGCGGATTCTTCAGTTTTTTTTTTGCAAATAGTTTAATGATAACATAAGTGATATTTGCTAGCTTAAATAAGAAGTTTTTTTTGCGTATTGTTTAATATCTATTTACTTTTAATTCATTAGGATTAATATGAACGTGGTGACATAAATGAACTATTCCACCTAATTAAAATTTCTAAAGTTATATGAAACCATGTGTTTATTTTGTTTATAACTATGCTTTAAAAATTTGACCCTATTAAACTAAATTATTTAAGATCAGCGCGTTAAATATGCAAAAAAAAATAAAGTTTTGTGTGTGTATTGTTTAATATCTATTTACGTTTAATTCATTAGGATTAATATGAATGTGGTGACATAAATGAACTATTCCACCTAATTAGTATTTCTAAAGTTATGTGAAATCATGTGTTTATTTTGTTTATAACTATGCTTTAAAAATTTGACCCTATTAAACTGAATTATTTAAGATCAGCGGTTTTTGAACTTTCTTTTCAATTTGGAATTTAAATGTAATGCTGTAAAAAAATCGTTGAAGTTAGTTTTCAAAAATTTCTACTGATTTACAAGTAAAAATAAAGAGAAGATGTTTGTCTAATTTTGCTTTATTTTGCTATTTCTCACCTAAATAATCTTACCATTCTAAAATAATCATTAGACTTATTAAGTATTGTTTTTATTTATTTATATTTTATTTCCAAACGTCTCAAAATTATGATCAACTGATTCTGCGAGACTTAGGAAATTACATATCTTTAAGGCTCAGGACTTCCATATTTTCTGGTTCCTATTATATTAATCTCTGTATAATCTGCTATTGCGTGTTTTTCCACTATGGAGACTCTCAACTTAGACATCCTTCAGCGTCCTTCATCATCAAAACTCCTCGCCGTTAGATTTTTTTTCATTTTCAGAAATAAGATAGTAGCTTGGGGCTACGTCTTGCGTATACATAAAGTGGGGCAATGTATTTTGATAATATGTTTGATCAAAAAGACATAAATTAATAATATGTTAAATGAATTATAAAATGAAATTTTTTTAATTGTTTGCTATATATCTTACTGCTTAATGCTTTGTCGACTAATAATTTTTTCTTTTTAAATTTTATTTTAGTTATGCTGAGCATCTCATACATCTAAATGAATGTCCATATAGTGAAAAATCTTTTGGATCAGAATCTACTGGTACATTTTCTCTACTCATATTTCTTACATAAGTTCAAATTTTAATTTAAATCACTTCAAATTTTATGTATTCTATAATAATATGCGTAGATAATAATTGTAGAGCAAAATGTAGCTTAAATATTTATCTTTTCTTCATAAAAATAGTTTTATGAAAACAATTTTAGCTTTAAAATTAAAACTAAGAATTTAAAGCAAGTTTCATTATATGTAATCATTGTTTACTGGTGGATGAATATTTATCTTCTTTTGAATAAAAAGAAATATCTCAAAATGCATCTAATAGGGTTTTAAATTTAGTGATCTTGGGCCTTAAATGATAATCTGTTTTCACAATTTTCGAACGTAAAATATTATTTAATTAAACTTTTTATTTTAATAGAATGTTATTTTTTAACACCTTAGAGGAAAAATGAAATAAATTCTGTTTTTTTTTTGTAATTTCAGTTCTAATTTATAATTACCTGATAATTTGCCATAATAATTAAATAAATCAAGATTTGTTTTCATATTAAATATTCTACTATGCAATTAAATTGTGGTGATTATTTTCAGACTCTTTTTATGTCTTATATCCTGGTTTGAGAAATAGATTTTATTTCTTTTAACTAGACATTTTTTTCTAGTAATCATTCATTTAGTTGAGTTAATTATTTACAGTTTTGTGTTTATTTTTTACTTTATTTCTCTTAGGCATTATCTTGATTTTTTTTATTTACTTTTTTGACTTAGATATGCTTCCTCTTGTTAAAGCACCAAGGAAAGGTTCTATTGATGTTCGATCCTACTCTGGTGAAAGTACGTACACTATTTACAGCTGTACATATGTGCGTGAAAAATTTACAGCTTTTTGGTAGTACGTACATAGAATCTATTTATATTTTAGTTTAATTTTGTTCAATTTACAAAGACATGATGTGTCTTTTTACTTACTTTCTTTTATTTGCATTCATAAGAATTTATATATCCAGTTTAAAATTTTTAATATTCATTTGATTTCAAAATTTATTTAGAAATTATAATCAGGAATTATTATAATTATTTGTTACGTTTTTAAAAGGGCATTTGGTTAACATATTCACTTTTTAGGTTATATATAAAGTAACCTTTTTTTATTAAACGTTAGAATATGTATCCACAAAATTTAAGTTTTTAAACATGCCGTTATCTAGATAGCAATCAATTGTGAATTCAAGATTTTCCCCAAAACTTGTTCCAATGAGTTTTGAAAAAAAATTCTTGAAAGATATCGATTCCAGTTTCATCACCCTGAATATGTAATATTGTTTATATTTCATACTAATCCTGGCTCTTAAATGGTTCTTGGGATGATGATCTCCCTCAATATTTATAAAAAATAAAATTTAAGAAAAAACTATCAGCATGCTGAATGAGTATGTTTAAATTAATTTTAATCTAACCAGAAATTTTTTGAACTGTTTTCATATACATCCGTAGAAAAAAAAGTAAAATTTGTGCTCAAAAGCACACAAAATAAAAACCTTAAATTCTTGCTTTTAACCATAGAAATATTAAATTTAATCCCTTCCAGTTCACTGAGTATTTTCGTCGATTTTTGCTTTTGCCTCACACCAGTACATTTTAGTAAGAAGTTAGAATAAACTTAAAATATTGGAAGACAAAACCTTAAAAGTTTTTAATAAAATATGTCCTGTTCTGCTGGTAAGTTGTCCTATTTAACTGGAATCAGCTGTTCAGTATTACTAGATATTGAACCACAAAGGGCTAATACCCCTATTATATTTTTTACAATTCTTAAAAATTGCATGCCAATATTAAGATAAGTCTCCTTCATATGGATAATTTTCTGTTTATTGGCCACTAATTACATACTTATAGTGTAAAAGTTAAGATCTGACTTAGCATTGAAGGTGCCGCCTCAGAACTCGAAGCAAAACTGCTGCTAGTTTTTTAATTCATTTAATGATATTATTATTAAAGGATCTATTGAAATCGTACTGATTTAAATGAATTATTTAATAATTAGTTAGAATATATGAATATATAGCATATTTATTTAGTATTTAATTGATTTATTTTATTTTGTTGTTTATTTGCCCCAAAGGACTAAGAGATGTTTTATCTTCAAGATGTTGAAAAGTTTATACAGATAATTACAGCATTTTTTCATTTCCTGCAATTTTTCTGTTATTGGCACACCATACATATTTTGAGATAAAATGATTTAAGCTTGTGTATTTGTAAATGGAGATTTTCTATCACATTTCCATTGAAAGAAACAATGTCCCTGAGTAATAGGCGATCTGAAAATTGTGTTTAATGAATATAGGATGGCTTCTCACAACATTTTAGAACATGATTCTAAAAATATGTTCGCCAAAACTTTTTGATAAAAAAAAATAATATTAATGAATGGACAAATCTTGTAAAATAATTTCAAAATTTTCTTTTGCTTGTTAAAGGTGCTTTTAGCATTAGCACTGCATAATTGTTTTACAGTTTTATTTTTATTGTTTATTAAATTCATAAATCAGAATTTAAACTTGCAGAGCAATCTGTATAAAAAGTCTTGAAAATTTCAGTTTGTAATGTGCACATCAATGATAGCTTTCTAGTGAATAATAGCTTGAAAAGTTGCTTGTAAGTCAATATGAATGATCTTGTTTAGAAGTATAACTAAATAAGTCCTTCTGACACTTTTATGGTAGTTTTCTAAATTAATGTTTTGGTTGATAATTTTCTTAATTAATGTTGAAGATTATTCTCATTGTGTTTCAAGATCACTTACGTAAATGAGAGCTCTGCCATTGTTGCTATTTTAAAATGTGTGAATCTTAAGGAATGACATCAGTAAAATATTTAATATATACTTGCCAATAAACACATTACAAGCATTTTAAATATTAATTTTATCAATAAATTAATATTCAATATATATATTAATTGAATGATATTTAATTTCTTTTAGCTGGTCTTAATAGAAGGCAGTCATTTGCAAAATTCCATCCTATGACTTTAGAACCTCCGATAACAAAAGTAAGCCATATTTTTGAATGTAGAATAAATAAAAAAGAACACAAAGCAAAGAAATATTAAAATTGAGTTGATCAGTATCTAATGTGGTAAATTATGTAAAAATTAATTGATTTGTTATTAGAAAAAGTACTTATTTTTTTAAGGTTTGAAATTTGTCTGTGCAATATGTGATCTTTAGCAAATTTGTCTTCTTTTCCTGTGTGAAAATAAATGTTTCATAGTTGAAGAACGTTATAAGAAGAAAAAAAAACAATTTTTATTTTTTCTCAACTAAATTAAGCATTTCATAATTTTTCATTAAAAAAATACATGTCAGATATTATCAATTAATACATCATTTTAAACAGGGTGTTTTTGTTGTAATATCAGAGCGCTCATAGGTCTCTGTGGGCACTCTGTCATTTGAATGTCATTGTCAGGAAATTTTATCAACCTGTAAAAATTATGGAAACTTTGGGAATTTCATTTAAATACTCAAAAAAATAATAGAAAATGAATTGATTGGAATTTAGGGTTCCCATAGGTCCATTGTTTTTTCAAAAATTATGAGAATTTAGTATAAATTCTTAAAAGATATTTTCTGACCCACAATTTTGGTTTGATTTATATAAATATATTGACTAAAAGCCTTCTAAGACATTTTTTTTTTTGCATTCATATGTATTAAATTGTATTCAATTTTAAAATAAATATTTATTGATGAAAAGTTTATTTAGCTTTCTTTAGAAAGTATTTCATTATCAAAATAAAATTTTTTGTCTTCTATATTAAGAAAATTGTAATATTTTCATAGGCAAACATGCTAACTTAAAACAAATGTTTCTTGTAGTGACTAGAAGTTACTCTTACCTGTTACCTATCTACCATAAATAGCAGCAATATAAAATAATGTGTTTCAATATAGTTTTAACTATTAATTTTTAAAAGGTTAGTACAATTATTTGTGTAAGCTTTGGTCTAAAAACTCATTCTAGTTAATATTATCTTGATTAAAATTTCTCAGCATGCTTAACTATTTATTTTAGTTCTCATCTTTAATTTAATGGAAATGATTTTTGCAAATGTATTGGTGATTTGTAAAAAAAACTGCTCAAATTTTTCTCTATTTTCTCAATATTCCTTGCATTAACATCAAACTAATGAAAGAAGCAATTGAAAGCTAATGAATTTATCACAAACAATGCAAACGAACATATATTTGATTTGTTTTCTTTTGTGAATTGATATTTTTGAATCCTAACCTTTAAGATCAATATTTTCTTACACACACAAAAAAAATATTAAGAATGAAATTAGATATTTCATTGTGTTGATATGAAAATATATCATAATATCTATATTAGTTTCAAATGATTTTGATAACAAATAAATATTAATGCAATTTCTAAAAATTTAACATTATATATTTAAAATTCACTGCTATAAGTATGTCATATTGTAGTGAGTTTTAAAGTTTTGTCAGTTTAATAGTTACATAATTTACAAACTTATTATTTGATATAATTAAAAAATTTTGTGATTAAAAGTTGCTCGTGATGAAACAAAATTGTAATTTATATATAAAATTTAAACATTTTAATGAACTTATAAATATTTAAACACTGTTTTTATCTTAAAAATTTTCAAATTACATTTATGTAAGTTCATAATGCATTTACTTTCTTAATTTAAAATGTGTTAAGAGATTAACTTGTTGATAAACAAAAACTTAAAAAATATAATTCTGATTAACATTTTATATTTTTTAGGTCATTAATATGATATTAGCTACACAAGAACACAGTCCCCTTTTTGTAGTGCAGGCACTTGATCGTGTTCTGGACATTTTAAGAAGCACTGATATCTATTCTCCTCAGTTCACTGGTTTGAAACAAAATCATGTTGAAGATCAAGTGGCTTCTGATCTCTTCAGCGGTTTAATATCTGTATGTATCACTTTAATGTTTACTTTTTCATTATTATCCATGCAACTCTTATAATTTTGTGTTACTTAAACTCTTGAAACCAGGGGAAAGTTGTAATTTTTTACAAAAACCTGGAAAATAACAAATCTTAGAAATCTTCGTAACAGTTATCAGTTATTGAGTATATTAGAGTAAAATAATTCTAACATCTATTACAATTATTTGTAGTAAAAATTTCACAATTTATTCAAACTGACCTGTAATAAGATAATCATTTAAAAAAATTTTACTATTTCATCGATTATTTTTTGCTTATGAAATAATTATGTTCTATTCAGCATTTAATTAAATCTCTGGCAATCATATCTTTGATGTTCAGGAAGCTAAATATCATTTAAAGTATAAGAACGCTTTTTCATTACATGACATGATGCCGACAAAACGGATCTAATAATCGGCGAACGACGTAAGGTCAAGTAAAATACATGGCCAGAAACTGAGCGCATTTTCATTCACCGATACGATAGCAATTATGTCGTATTCGACAAAGCGATATCGTTTATCAGAATCAAATGTTGGTTAAGGGCACGTTTCTCCTCAAATCGTGCCGATTTTATTTGTTGTTGTGTATCTTAAAAATAACTGTCTTTTATTTTCGATGTATTTGAAAAAAAATTTAAGCTCTGAAAATAAACACAGAAATAAAAGTTTTATATAATTCCTTCTCATGTCTAGTTATATGTTTTTAATTTTATGATGTTGCATTTTTTACATTAATAATGAGGGGGAAAGACTTAAACAATCATAAAAGTTTTATTGAAAATTTTTATAAATCCATTATATGCTTTAATAAAAAAATATATAAATAATAATAGTGGTTTGATAAGAAGGCAAAAAAAGACCCTTATGTATTTCAAACAGAACTCGATCTAACTTCTGTTTTCTGCTTTATTGAATAATCAAAAGTTTGTTTGTTTAATAATTACATTATTAAATAAATATCTAATCTCATATTTGATATTAAGTTATCTTGTGCCTTGTCAAGAACATAATCTAGGTTTTGTAAAATAATAAAAGCGATTTTGTTCTATGCAGGTACATAGTCTATTTTGTTAATTGGTAAAAATCTAATTATTTCTCAGTATAATATGAATAATGTCAATGCCTTAAAATAAAAGTCATTTTTAAGCATGGCCCTGTGCCTTTAGACTCTTTTGGCCCTTCCAAAAACTATGAATCTATTTACTTTAGATTAGTTGCAAGTTTACTTTCATTAACTTGGTGTTCAAGCAAAATTTATTTCTGCACAAGTTTCTTTTTTTTCTAAATATTTTTAATTATTCTGGAAATAATTGTTTCCTTTCTTCTACTTTCTACATTATGTTTTCACTTCTTTCTTTTTCTAGATTTATAAAGTATTTTCAAATTTATTTAAGCTTTATATTTCCTTGTCGGACTATCATTTTGTGAGAAAAAAATTTAAAGTAATTTTTTTTAATATTAACAAACATGTTAATAAATAATTTTTAAAACACAATATTAAATATTATGTGACTTACGATCATTTTTCTAAATTATTATTTCTTGTATAACGGTTTCAATATTATTAGCAGTTAAAAGCAACATACTTTTAATATCTAAAATTTACTGAGGGTACTATTGCGATGCCAAGTTATATTATTCCATTGAAAATGAAGCATATTTTTTATTTTTGTTTATTTACTTATAAAATTTCAGACTTCTGAAATGATAAAAGCATAAAAAAGTTTGTTTTCTAATAAAATGATGTCATAGTTTGAAAATGGAAATTTTAAAGGGAGAATTTTCTGTTTGGTATTTAATTTTATTAGAAAGTTTTTTTTTAAAAAAAGAGAGCTTTACATAAAAATTTGAATTAAATTAGAGAAAAAAACGGGAGGTATCTTATTTTCATGAAAGAAAAAAGAAAGGTAGGTAGATATTTTATTTACGTCACGCTCGAGCTGCACGGTGGCTATTGGCAACGGTCTGAAAAACATACTTGAGGAAAATCGAAGACATACCATCCCAATTTCAATGCTCTGCTGAGGGGACGGTTCCTCCACTTTGGTAGCCCAATGACCTGCGTGCAAAGTCTAGCACTTTACGGTAGAACACTTTAACGAGGATCGATACCGCACACGCTCAGTCCCAACGCAGGCTTATCAAAGTGATCATCCACCCATTTACTGACTGCAGCCAGTGACGCTCGAGTTCGATGTTCCACTGCAAAACCGTGTCTTTTAGATCAGTCTACTACTGAACAAGAAAAAAAGTCATTGGTTTATAAGTTTAGAATTACTAAATTAAAAAAATTATTCAACAGAATTGGTTAATACGATCACTGAAATTAAATGGAAAGAATATAATTTAGATGTACGCAGGGTTTATAATATATGAAAATTCAGAAAATAAAGATCTAAATGATTGATTTCAAATTTTATCTTAAGTTAACAACAACAACAAAAAAATCTTTGCATTTAAATGTCCAGCAGAAGACCTATTTTGCCAGAAATTTTTTTAAAAATCATAATACTATTAAGCTTTTCTTAAATCCAGGTTGAAAAAGTTTTACTATAGTTCTGCTTTTAAGTTGTAAAATTGTATATAATTAATTTTCATTAATCTTCAATTGTGCATTATTTTTCTATGTTGTTATAGAATAGCAAGCAAGTCATACGCAGATTTTCTCACGAAGCTTTTAGAGGTGAGTTTTGATGCTTTAATTGTGTTTTTATATCGATTTTCACTATATAAAAATCAGTTTTAAAAATTCTCCTTTTTTTAATTGAGGTGTTCCTGCTTCCGGGACACTTCCACTGACTCCTTCTTCGCTACCAACTCTCGGAGCTGCTCCTCCTAAAATAAAAGATGCATTAGAAAATATCCATGAATGGTGGTTTGATATATTCAATTTGGAGAGAGTAACAGAAAAAAGGTACATTTAAATAACTTTCTTCAGATCTCTGTTTATCTGAAAGCTTTTTTTTTCTCATGCACCATTGTTTTTTCATCTAGTTGCAAAGTTTGTTGAAAAGTTATTCTTTTATTTTATTGATTAATAAGTTCGTCTTTTATTAGTTTTCTTGCAGCTTTGTTTCATATTTTAGGATAATTTAATTATTTATCTTATAGCTAAGGATTAAAAATGTTATGTTTTAGTAGTTTATTCTATTGTATATTCTTAATTTAATGAATATGGGTTAATTTTAATTAAATATAGATTTTTTATATGTTTTTAGTTTCTTTTTAGGATAGTCATATAATTGGTGTCAAAAATATGTTTTTTTGTAGAATTATTTTCTTTTTAAATTAGTATCGCTCATTTAAGTTTTGCAATATTGGTGCTTTTCTAACCTTTAGTGAATTTTTAATCCATTCTAACACATTGGGTTTTAATCATTTACTGCGTTTTTGTTTTCAAAAGTGTTCTTATGCTGATTAATTATGATTTAACTTCAACTATACACAGATCATTTATTTATTTTTTTATTTGATTTGTTTTTTTGTTTGTTTTTTTAATTCTATCCAGCATAATCCTTTGGTCTTTTTGTCCCTTTTAGTCACATTTATAATTCTGACAATTTATAATTTTTAATGACAGTAATGGGTTGACATTATTTAAATCATCCGATTTTTTTTTTAAAAAATGAAATAGTATTTTTAATGCTTTCTTGGAGTTGTGATTTTATTTGTAATTTTAATTTATATTTTTATTAAACGTAAATTTGTTGAATTTTTTTAAAAGAAAAATTCCTGGAATTATACTTAATATCAACCTATGAAAGTCAAGGAAAAAATTTCTTCTTTTTGAGTATGAACTCTGTTTGATTTACTTTTGAATTGTCAATTAGCTAAAATCATTGCCTCATATATGAGAAAGCACTGCTTAATTCAATGATTCTGAATTTTTATTATTTTTTTTTTACGTTTCTATTCTAATGGGTTATAGAAAATTTTAAATATTAAAAATCTAGATACTAGTTTGGATACATTGCTCGTTTCTTTATCTTACTCCTGACCTGGGCCAATTGTTAATAATATTTCTCATAATAATTCTAATATGTAATAATATTTCAAATTGTTAATAAATTAATATAGATGGTACTATGTGCAGTGATGTATTATTAATTAATATTTAGATTCCATTCAGACATTGTAACATTAACATCATTCTCTGTTATTGATAGTAAATATATTTTTCTGTTACAAAGCGTTCTGTTATAAATTATGCAAAAAACTCACCTTTTATGGATTAACGAAATATGGATTCACATATGAATGAAAAATCACTGACCCTGAGATTATTGTATTTCACACCAACTGTCTTGCTATCAAATAAAGGTGCAATTAAGTAGAAGTGAAAGTATCCCCAGTATAAATGTCTTTTAATTTGGTGCACATGTACAGTTGTTGTTACCACAGAACTACCCCCACATTGTTGGCATGAGGCAGAGGCAGCTATGCTAAAACTAATGAGATGATACTGGGGATAATCATGACCTGTCAGCATGCAAAGGCAGGCATCATTTGGGTGAATTGGGGAGAATTCTGATTTTATTTCGTATAAGGCACTCCCAACTTTTTCCAACAGCTATATTCCAAAAATGAAATTTTCTTTAGGTTTTTTTACATTTTGTCTTGTTTAGTACTTTATAATTTCTTATGGGGAGAGAAGGGTGTTACTGTGGCAAACATAAAGCTGATTTACCTAGTGAATCTGCTTCCTCATTACGAAGAATCTTGACATGTCTTGGGTTCCATTGGATTGCAACAACTTTTCCATTTTCAGTAAGATTGCTAATAACACAGAAGCTCTTCAGAAGAGGAAGAATGTTTTCTATTTACCAAGGTCTGAATTGTAACCTGTGAATCAACGAGAATCACAATTTTTTCATGCATTTAATTTTTTTAAGCCTCTGTAGCAAGAAGCTCTGTAGAAATTACCCCATCAAAGTTGTTACAAAATACAGTCGAACTCGTTTATAACGAGCTCGGATTTAACGAGGGAAACGAGAATATTTGGTTGGATCAATGTTAAGTCTATGGAACAGAAGTCGCTTTTAACGAGCAAGACCCGGTTTTAGTGAGCAATCTTTTTTCTCATCTTTCTAGTCTTTCTGTCTAATCTTTTTTTCAAAATGATTAGAAATGCGCGAGAAATCAAGAAAAAAACCGCGAACTGAAACTTAATTGCCCTTATCGTTCTAATCTAAAGCTTTATCGGTTGACGAAAAAGTAAAAAATTTACGGGAGTTGGATGACGGTGTTAAAAATTTCGAAATCTGCAAAAGGTATGGATTGTCTTCATCTACTGTTTCCACACTGCTAAAAAACAAAGGCAAGTTAATGGATGCATACGAACAAAATAAAACAGACTGTAAACGACTGAAGAAGTGTTCGAAAGACGATTTGGGCGAAGCGTTATTGAAATGGATGAAGGTGCAACATAGTGCTGATTTATCTGTGAGTGGATCAATTCTAAAAGTGCAAGCAGAAAAATTTGCTGAACAATTTGGATATTCTGAATTCGTTGGGGGGAAGGGGTTAGTTGTCATTAAATTAAGAAAAGTATTTAATTAAATTAATTAATGTAGTTAAATTAAGTAAGTATTAATTAAATTTTAAGTAAACTTAATCATTTTACCTCAAAAGCCCCCCCCCCCTCTTCTATTTGCACGCCTGCCTTAAGGACCCGTTTATAACGAGCACTCGGATTTAACGAGTACGTGTTACGGTCCCTTTGTGCTCGTTATAAACGAGTTCGATTGTACTCCTATCAAACTTTTAATTTAAAGGGACTGACAATAAGCTCCAGCACCAGTATTTTTCGAAGTGGGATCAGCTGATCCCATCTATGTAGGCGGAGCGGATATCTTTCGTGGATGGATAATTGCAAATGATTTTAGTCCTGTCTCAGAAAAAGTTTTTCTCTTACAAAGAAGAAAGAGCTCAAAGTTTAGCTGAGCAAATTTAAAATGGTTAATTAGAAGTTAAGATAATTAGTTTTAGGAGATGCCATACCAAGGGAGAAACTTTTTATCGCAGATTCTCTTTCACCTTCATAAATTTAAAGTATAGAAAAAATGAGTTCAAAAAAACCTTAACCTATGAAGTTTCATGTACAGAAATTTTTTTTAAAAATTTCCTATTGAAAATAACTTAGAGAATAGAAGATACCTTAGGATTACGCTGTGGAAAAGTTCTCTTCCAATAATTTATTTGAAATTTGATATTTTCAATTTTTTTTCAACAAATGAAATTTCATGGCTTATTCTCGGTTTGCCTGAACATACTTTTCAGTTGCGAGTGAATGTTTTTCTTATGGTATGGTGTCCTATTCCGTTAAAAGTTAGTAAAATGTTATTAAATATTATTCCAATCTGTACATGCTGGTGAATTTTGATTTTTTTTTCAGGCCTCTTGTGTGGTCAGGGCTCTCAATTTTCATGAAGTTTAATGCATGTAATCTTCTAAATTGTGATGAAAGTGTGATCCGAAACTGGCTTTCCATTATTGAAGCCAATTATCATCAAAATCCATATCATAACTCCACACATGCTGCTGATGTGTTACAAGGAACCGCTTATTTTCTTCAAAGACCAAGAGTTAAGGTTAATAAACTTATGTATCACTTTTAAAATTTCATAATATTTTTTTGTGAGTAAATATGTATTTATTTAATAATTTGCCCTACAATGTTCTATAAAATGTAATTATTAATTGCACTATCTTCAAAAACAAAATTTCAGCTCAAAAATCTGCGGTTTGCATAAAAAATTAAATTTTTGATAATTTTTTGGATCTTGAGTAAAAGTTAAATTTTCTTGGTATGTATTTTTATTTCAATTATGGTGTACTAATATTTTTTTTTGTATAAAATTGAAATTTGCCAGGTAAACAAGTTTTGAATTTTTAAAGAATTTACTATAAAATAATAAATATTTCAAGTAGGATTAATATTATGATTCTTTTATCACATTCTATGTTTTCAAATATGCAAGGTTAACAAAATATTTTTCTGCACTAAATTATGTGTGTAGGTAATTTAATAATTTTAAATTATAAGAGATGAAATTGATGTAAAAAAAGTTAAATTTCAATGAAAAGCATTATATATTATTTTCTATATATTATCTATATATTACTATTTATATAATATTATTTACATAATAAGTGGCTGTAAAAAAAGGAGGGGGTATATGCAAAGTATTTTATCAAATGACTAATGTTTGCAATTTTTACTAAACAAGCAAATTATTTAATTAAATTCAGGTATGTTTAATTGTTAACAGCATTAAATAAATAAAAATTATTGCTTTTAGTTCTCAATTTTGTTACAAAGTAAGGATTAAAAGCTAAAAGTAGTATTTTTATGATTTTTATTAGTTTTTAAAATAATTAATCAATAATCTTCAGATCTAACAAAGAAATTATGTTATTAAATATGCAATTATACGAAATATAAGAGTTTAAAATTGTAAAGTAGTTTTCAGGTTTAACTTTCAAGCACTATTTTTGAATAATAATTTTGGATCTAAATCTTATATTTTCTTATTGGTAACCATAAACTAAATAAAAAAAACATCATTTTGCTTTGTCCATGAAATTACAGTATCATAGAAACTGCATTTCTTGCTGAAACCCTATGTTATAAATATAATTTTTTAGTTTAAAATAAATTTACCAGAAAATTAAAAGTTTAAAATAAAATGTTTAATAACAGTTGACTGGTTACTCAAAACTTGCCATGATGAGAAGACAGTTTGAAAAAAAAAATGCCATAATGTGTCACATATGAAAACAGTGCTTTGTTCAAAATGTTTTCTCAATATAAAGTTTCAATTTCAGCATTTTTTCATTGAGACAGATTTTGAATTTATACAAACTAACCTCATTTTTTAAATCAATAATGTTAATTGCTTTTTATTTTATCCTAGTTTCAACCATTATCAGTTTTTAAATAGACATCCTTAGTAAAATTCATCATTTTCCTTCAACTGTTAGGTTCTGATTGTTTTTAGTGGCTGATTAATTCATGCATAAATTTATTGAAAATACATTCTTTAAATGGTGGATTAGTAATAATAATGGTTTTTAATCTGTTTTTTTTCCTTCCCATTAATAGCTTTTCTCACTTGTGATTAAAATTTTAAAAATGAAATTGACTACTTTTCAACTGTATCTAATTACTGTATCTTTATTTCTATGCCTAAGTGTTACACATTTTCCTAAAACACTATTTTATTTTCACTATATTAGTTTATTTGGTTGATATAAAAAATAAAATTAGGTTTTATGAATTAACTATATGACTTGAAATTATTATTTATTTATTATTAAGTTATTCTTTTTAATTTTAAATAAAAGGTTTTGAATTGGTTAATTTATTTCAATAATAGCCTAGGTTAAAATATCTATTTTCTATGTCCAATTGTTACTAATTTTGATAAAACCATATTTTATTTTCCATTCAAAAAAAAAAAAATCTTCAAAGTGAGATATATTGAACAATTAAAATAATAATTATTTTCAAGTGTGATTTTTTTTCTTTTGTACTGACACTTTTGTTCAAAACCTGAGAGTTTGAATAGTCTACTTCTTCTCAGTAAATAGCTAAGTTAAAATAACAGAGTTTATATATCCAAGTTTTACTTTAAATATTTTGATAAAACCATGTTTTACTTTCAATATCTTTTTTATTAGCTATTAAGAAAAGTATTCAAATTAAGACATTAAAACATGACTCAAACTATTAAAGTGTGATTTTTTTTTGTACCAATACATTGTGTTGCTTGTATTAAAATTTAAGAAATTGAATTGACTACTTCTTCTTAATAAAAGTTTGCATTTTTAAGAACTCTAAAATAAAACTTTTATTTTCTTTCAAACTTGGGTAATGTTCAAATTATTATAAATAAAAAATGTTTTTATCTGTTCAAAAATTAAGTAGACCTAATTTACATAATTGCATAGAATTGTATGTTCATATTTGTTAAAATTCAATATTTTGATTTACAACCAGTCATTTAAAATATCCTTTATTATTTTATTTATTTTATGAAAATCCTATAATTTTTTGTGCCATTGGTGCTAGGATTGTAAAGAGCTTCAATTATTTTAACTGTAAATAGAAAGCTTCAGCTTAGTTAATACTCACCAACTCCTAAAAAACAAGCATGCAATTTTTTCAGCACAACTTCTAATTTTGTCTTGATTACTACAATGAATAGTCGTCTGAGTAATAGAAAATATTAAATTATTTATACTAATATCAATTTTTAAAATTCTATTTTATATAAAGAATAAAGAGTTTCCGAATAGATTGGAGGTGATTTTGTAAGGGAAATCATTTTGCTACATTGCTGTTTTATACCATCTGATAATCATTATGAATAAACTGTTTCATTTTGTTAAGCTCTTTGAACATTTTGAAAGGGTTAACTGAATACATTTTCTTAAGACGCAATATTTAACTAATTACCATACATTCTTGACCCTATTTTTTTAAAATTTATTTAAATTTTCGAGAGAAATAAAATAAAAAAATATTTATATATTCATTTAGTTTCTTTTTATGGCAGCCTTTTAAATAATAGTCATTTTATGATTAAAGATATTGTGTTGGTATATAATTTTTCTACTAATCATAACTTATATTTCAGGCTATATTTGATCCCATGGATGAAATAATTTCTCTCATTGCTGCAGTTGCACATGATGTTGACCATCCTGGTAAAAACAGTGCATTTTTGTGTAATACTGGAAATGATTTAGCTATATTGTATAATGATTTGTAAGTGCAATTTTTCTATTTTGAAATTTTTAGAAACTTTTTTTTTCTAATCTAAAAGTTTTCTAATGATTAAAAAATTATAATGTTGTGAATGAAAACAAGTTTTAACAAAAGTTTCTTAACATTCTACCTAATCTTTGAATTTTTGCTATACTCTGTTGCAAATTTAAGAAAAAGACCATTGCGGTATAGGATTTAAATAATCATTCGGGACTACATATAGTTCTGTTTTATTTCGTTTTCAAATTATACAAATTAGTTTTAAATACAATACAAAAGGTTTTAAGTTAAACACATCTTACTTAAATTTAATTTGTGCCATCTTTTAAGATAAATATCAAAGAATTATATAAAAAAAGTTCATAGTTTTGTAGTCTTACTGGAATTCTTGACTTAGTGGCATATTTTGGTAAATAAGAAGAATATTCTTGAAAAAGAGGCAACTAAATGATGTTGCAAGAGCATTTGATTTGATTGGACCACTAAAAATGGTGCTTCTTATGCTGACATACTTTTAACAAATCAAATGAGAGATAAATAATTTTTACTTTTTTTTCGCTGGAGAAGAAAATTGTCTGCTCGAAACAATAGTATTCTTTCATCAGTTTTTTAAAATGCAAGCAGAGATTGTTCCCATTTTTTGATATCATTTTTGTTAATTTTTATTGCTTGTTAATTGATTATTATTTTTAATAACTATAATTTGTTATTGTTTGCAATTTTTGTTTTGAATTAGTAAAAAATTGCATTATTTAATTACTGTTTTTGGAATGTCTACACCTTAGAGTTCCTTTCACAATTTCTGATTCATTTTTAGAAAAATAATATCAATAAAATTTAAATATGATGCTACTCTCTAATTTTATTTGAAAAAATAATAGTTTTTATTCATTAAGTTTTGTTTTCCTCATTTTACAGGTTTTAGGAGCGCAAGCAAAAAAAAAAAAAAAANAAAAAAAGAGAGACTGTGCTGCATCTTTTCAAGAGTTAACAATGTTGATATATGTTCACGCCAGGAACTTGGCATCCATTTTACATTTACATGTATTTAGATACAAGCATGCTCTTTCCATAGGNAAAAAAAAAAAAGAGAGACTGTGCTGCATCTTTTCAAGAGTTAACAATGTTGATATATGTTCACGCCAGGAACTTGGCATCCATTTGACATATACATGTATTTAGATACAAGCATGCTCTTTCCATAGGGATAATGTTTTTTTTTTTTTNTTTGATTTTTAAAACTTTTTTTGTTTTTTCTTTTTTTTTTTTTTAATTTTATAACTTGCAACAGAGTATAATAATAAATGTTGTACCTAGGTAAAACTTTTTTTTGTAACTTTACTAGGTGATTTTCAGATGTACATTTATTATATTGGTTATATCATTTATAATTTATATAAATGTTATGTGCACTTAAGCATATTTTTAATTTAATCTTTTTTACTTTTCATAATATTAATTTATTTACTTTTTGCAAAAGCTCAATAATGTTATTTGGTAATTTTAGGTCAGTTCTTGAAAGTCATCATTCTGCATTGGCATTTAAACTAACAGTGTCGAATGAAAAAGTGAATATTTTTCAAAATTTGAACAAAGATACTTATAAAGAGGTACGGCGATCTGTTATTGATATGATACTGGCCACAGAGATGACAAAACACTTTGAACATTTGTCTAAATTTGTTAATGTTTTCACAAAATCTGTAGAAGCTGAAGAAGACGAAACAGTAAGTTGAAAATAGTGTTTTTAACATACTTAAGCAACTGGTCCTTTGAGATTTTTGCTGGAGAGTATATCACGATGTTAAAAAATCCGAATTATTTTCATTAAAATCATTTCTCCCTTTAACTGAATTATTAAGTAAATAATTATTCACATATTATTAGTTATACTCAAAGAGTAGTTAACAAAGAAGTTTTTAATTATAGCATGCAATTATAATACTAAATGTATGTTTTTACCATGTATAAATCCTATTCGAGCAAATCCATGGCTAAATAAATATTTTTTTTAATAAATTAATTTAATTTTTTTCAATAAATGTTAATAGTTTCTGTAAATTCAACCTTATTAATATTAAAATTTTATAATTAAAATTCAACCTTTTTAATTATAAACTTTTAATTATCCAGTATAATACCTTGTGCACATCCAGATTCAGGCTAATCCAAAGTAATTAACAAATCAAAGGCGCTTCTGTACTTAAGTAATAACAAATAAATATAATATGATTCCCTTCATCCTCTATTTTCATATTTTGCAATCTGACAAACTTGTTAAGAAAACATTTTAAATAATTTTTGAAAAATGCCTGTTCATGTAAGTACATTTGAATTCACTTCTCGCATTATATATGACATTTTGAGGTTTATTCTAAATTAAATTAATTTTTATTATCTATTTTTGCTTGATTTTTTTAAAATTTTTTATTTTTATTTTGCATTCATTGCTTAATGGGTTCTATTTTCTTTTCAAATTTTTTGGTAACACTATTGTACTGATATGTTTTGCTTTGACTGTATTAATGCAATATTAGAAAGCACTATTTTTCTTTTCGTGTATAACTGTGTTATATCTCTTCCTAATTTTATTTTATTTTGCAATTTTTTTTTTGAAGTTTAAAATTTTGGATTTGCAAAATTTTTTTAAAAACTTTTTTAATATATATAGATAGATAGATAGATATAGCGTAATAAATAAGTACAAAAGGAAATAAAAAACCACGAAAATTAAGAAAAACAATAAGTTTTATTTACTGTGCATAATCTGCAAGTAAATAGAACTCATAAATAAGTTCAAAATGTAGAGAACACATGGAAAAAAATTACAGAGCAATGAAATAAAGGGAGGGGGGAGAAAAATACTCATAAAAATAACAGAAAACCGGGGGGGGGGGAATCAAAAAAAAGGAAGAAGAAAAAAATTTATAAAAATCCAAACTTCTGATTTTTATAAATTTTTTTCCTCTGGTTTCTTGTTATTTTTATTATTATTTTTCTTTCCCCCCTTTTTTCATTGTTCCATAATTTTTTCCTTGTTTTCCCTACATTTTGAAATTATTTTATGAGTTCTATTTACTTGCAGCTTATGCGCAGTAAATAAAACTTACTGTTTTTCTTAATTTTCTTCGTGTTTTTTAAGTAGTATTGATGGTAGTTCTTTTATACTGCACATGAAGTTTATTAATTTTCTTTTTAAATATCCAGAAATTTAATATTTTTAGGAAGATATTTTGTTGTGAAATATTTTTGAACTTTTTATATAAATTGAATATTTTAAATTTAGAATAATGTGCATTACCGTTTGTTTCAAGTTATTTTTCTATGACTGTTGTACTATTTTTAATGTAATGAACATGTTTTTCTTTTAGCTGGAGCAGCCATCACCAGATTTATCTACAATGTCCACACCTGAAAATATTGTTCTTGTGAAAAGGATACTAATAAAATGTGCAGATGTCTCCAACCCTGCCAGGCCATTGAACTCTTGCAAGGAATGGGCATTTAGAATTGCAGAGGAATACATGGCTCAGGTTAATATGAATATGTATATTTATCTCATGTAATATCAAATTCATTTATGGTATTTTTTTTAGCAAATTTTCCAGCATTTGAGCTGTATTCTAATTTTTAAATGGCTTGGTTATTTGAAGTAGCTCTTCATCTACAAATTGTTTAGATTAAATCTTAAAGCAGTACCTTCTACCTCTCTATGTTATGTCTACTCCTCCAATTGCTCATGTTTTTAATTACTTCAGAGTCAGCTTGGGTAAAAATGGGTTATCATTATATTTATTATATATTTAATAACAAAAAAGTAGATTAGACAGTTTAGAAGACTGATAACTCAAAAATCAATTCAAATCTTTTCTAAGAGTTTGAAGCATTATTGTGAGTTAAATTTCTTTTTTTCTTGTTCTTAAGATCTGCTAAGCAAAAATTTAACTATTTTTTGATCATATTTCTAACTTTATTATACATATTGAATTGAAAAATAATGTATAAAATTTACTTAATATTTGAATACTCACATGTATGTATTGATAATTTGATCTAGCTAAGTCTCAAGACCTAGGTCTTAACATAGACTTCAAAAGGTAAAAATTCTTTTGTGTCAACTTAAAAAATTGTTTTGCTATAAGGAAATGATTTTAACGACTTAAACCTTTTTATTCATTATATAATTCTTTATAATTAGTAAGGTTTATATGTGCTGGGACAATCAGGAGAAATCATGATGATTTGATTAATAGAAAATGAGATTTGATTAATAAAAAAAATCAGGGTAAAATGTAATTTTGCCCCAAAAACTGAAATTGTAATGAAAGTAATCCAATTGCATGCTAACATTATTTATTCATTTTTGTATTAAAATATAATTTAAAATTTCATTTTTTTTAACCAGGAATTTTATGTAAATGGACATGAAAAAGTTAGGGAAGAAAATTTCTTTTTAAGTATGAACTCTGTATTTAGCAATTAAAATAATTATTATAGCTTATAAAATTATTTTAAATGCATTACACAAGTATTGTGCCTTCAAATAACTTTTATTATTTTCAAAATTTGCTGTCAACTTGTAGTTAGGTTTGCAATAATACATATGTTTTTATAAAGTTGCTACAAATTTAAACTTTTTTTTTCAGGGGTATCCACTGTTTATGTTAAGGTTTTTAAAAAATTAATAGGTTATTAAACAATTTTTTTTACGAGTAATTTAATAGCAGTTATTTAGCAAATATAAACCATAGATAAAATTGTAAAGAGAGTGCTTATTCTTCATATGTATTGTGCATTGTATCTTTTAAGCCCACTTTTAAATGTACCCGATAACTCAAGTGCATCTTTAGCAATTTATTTTTTAGCAACCTGCAATAGCAAGAATAAGAATAATTTTTTAAGGCCCTTACATCGCTTAGTTTTCTATGCCAAAATGCACCATATTATCCCTAAAACCCTTATAATGAGTAAAAACAATTTTTCGTTTTTAAAATATGTATAATTAGGTAATTGTTTTCATAATTAATTAATTTTCAAGATATTTCGATCCACTGAGAGTTTTAAGATGAAGCATTTACGTAGTGGTTTCCTAATATAGGGTCACTATTGGGATGTCTAAATTTTTTAATATTGGTCCTCGAATGGTTTCCATATAGGACCCTTAGGATTTAGATCGAGGCTTACGATTTAGAGCCTGTAGCGTAACTACAACTTTTAAACTCCAGTTCCCTAGTATATAGGATATGTTATCTTGAAGGTTGACATTGTCGGCAACTTAGCCCCATAAAGGCTGCTCGCAAGCAGGCTTGTTTCAACTTTCGTACATGATCAGAACACATGTATCTTGACAGAAACGACCACATCGATAGAAACACAGTGAACAATTGACTTGCAAATTGTGACTGCGACCTCCTCGTGCTGTTGCAACTCGATCTGGATCAGTCACAACAGGATCCTTTAGCCTTGCCCCATAGGGTGTGATCTGAACACGTTTGCCTCAAACAACAATCTACAAGCCAATATTGGGGTTTCTATATTTTGTAATAATGGACCAATATCATTTTTTATGTTCAACCTTCATAGATTTATGTTGGGTAAGCATTGGGATGTCTAGATTTTTCAATTGATCTTGATAATAATGAATCTTGTTCCAATATTGAAAGTTATTCTAGGACCAGTATTGAAAAATCTAGACATCCTTGGTGCATGTTCTTATTAGCCCATTTTGAGCCCAAGTGGGGCCAATGTAAAGTTGTTGCTAGGGTACATACATTAAATATAATATACAAAGGTAATATGAACATATTTTGAATAGTTGCTCAGATCTCGCCCATGACATTTGTTCCTGTGGGGGTTTGTAGAAAATCATATGTGTCCCTCCAGGTCCAATCCTTTATCATAGCTGCTAACACCAGCATTGATGTTGGCATGCTGTACAAAGTTTGGCAAGAATTGCATTTCGGACTTCATTTATGCAGAACAACAATTGGAGCGCATATCAAACATTTGTAAGGAGTAAATTCAAAACCTACTTGTATATATTTTTGAATGAATATATTTAGTATTGTGCACCTATGAAATTTATGCATTCACTTTGACTTATCTTGTAAATGCAGAGGGTTCTGTAAATGTTGCGACAAACTTCTGAGGTAGTGCACATCTTAAAAAATTAAGAATTGCATAAGAACCCATGGCCAGAAATGTCATCATATAACAGGAGAGTGCTGAAGAAGAAAGTGATGGTTACCTCATTCAAGCAATAGGCAGTATATGAAGAGCATAGAACGCTTTGCTTGAAGACATTCGCTAAGTGTCTGGAATAGCTGGGGATAATAAACAAGCCGCCTCTGCATGCAATTATTGAGAAAACTTCACAGGCAGACAGCAACCACACCATAGTTTGTTTACACGTCTGCTACAAAATTTGTACGAGTACGGGTTATTTAGAAGAGGCAGGACAAATGAGAACATGCAACGATCAATTCACTCAGTTGTTAGGAAAGAAAGTGTGTTGGATGCCTTGGAGAGTAATCCAAGGACCAGCGTACGTTTCTCAGTTAAGAATGCCTCGTAGTGGTGTCCAGCAGGTTTTGAATGTAGAGTCCTTCCAGGGTTTTAGTATCCAAAAGGTTCAGCTACTGCTCCACAATGACCATCCTAAACATCTGTGTTTTGCACAGTTGTTTCTGGAAGAAAATGGCAGTAATGTGAATTTCGCTACCTTATGTAATCGCACTGATGAGGTCATATTCAATATGGAAGGCATATTCAATCACCTCAATCAGCATTTGTGGGTTCAACAAAACCTCCACGATGTGCGGCACCATGTTGCATAACAGCGCTTTAAGTTAATATGTGGGTGGGTTTGGTAGGCGACTGTTTATTTAGCCATACCTTTACCATAGAGGGTGAATGCATGAATTATCTGATCTTCCACAAAATGTGAGGCGCAACATGTGGTTACAACATAAGAGGCGCCTCCTCATTTTGGATTGGATGTTCATAGCCATTTGAACAGATCATCTCTGCATCGATAGAATGGGCTTGGCACGATTTGTATTCATTATATCCAATAAATGTTTCTAATTAATCCCTCTATTATTTCCTTTCACATCGATTACCTCTGCTACCACTTAATCCTAACATTTCCAACTGTGGTTTTCTTAGCAAATCTTAATCCTCATGATGTTCCCTACCTCCCATAGAAGTTTGTCGCAGCATTTATGAGACACCCTGTACAACATAAGAAATATGCTCTATGGAAACCCACAAAATGAAATCTAGTGATAATTGCTACAGGTAGAACACAGATGTATAATTTGTTTTAAAAAAATCTGGTTAGTTTTTCTATTTGTGAAGAAATTTTATATATTTTATAATGATCAACTTATGACAAATTATAGAAATACATCAAAGGAAGTTATGCACTGATTGATGTTAAATCATTATCTTAACAAATGCAATTTTCAATAATAATATTTTGCGTTTTCAGACTGACGAAGAAAAAAGCCAAGACCTACCAATAGTCATGCCAGCATTTGATCGTACTAAGTGTAGTATTCCCAAATCACAAATGGGATTTATCGATTACTTTGTCAATGATATGTTCGATGCATGGGATGGTAATTATAACCATTTTTAACTGATTTATAATGAGATTGCTTTATTTTAGTACTCTTTTGTTTTATGTAATTTTATATATTTGTCTGTTTACTAATGTTGAGATTGGAGTTATAAGAAGTTAAGTGTATTACAGGTTGACTGTCGCAAAAAGAAATTTTTTTTTCCCTTACTATTTTAAAAATTAAGTATGATACAATATTGTATTTTTTCCTGGACCTGATCTTGTAAAAACTATGAATGTTCTCAGGAATATGACTATTTCTCACTTTATTTTAAATGTCTCAATAAGAGCTCAACTCAGACTACAATGTCACACATTGACAAAACTTATTATTTTATACACTCAGTGGGACTGCTGCAACAGTTACGTTTTCCCTACAACTTTTATTTATTATACTTAAAATAATTAAATTTGACTAATATTGTATTGATGATAATTTGTTGTTACATTTAAAATAGAACAACCTCAAAATAGGATCTTGCTGCTCTTCTGCACGATAAATTTATTTTCCAATGGTGAATAAAGTCTCATCAGGATATATTTTGTACAAACTTTACTACTGTTAGCCAGACATTTTTTGGAAATGTTTTAAAGTGGTTATACAATTTATCGTTTAGCTCCTGGTGGTCAAAATTATTTAAAAATTAAAAGAGCTATAAATTGTATTCATGTTTATATTTTAATTATATTGTAAAAATTTGAAAATGTGTAACTCGCTCGGATATTGGTTACCTTCACGAGACATTTTGTTTGATTTGCTATTTTTTGCATTGTGAAATATAAAGATAGTTTGTGGTTTTGATTAAACAAATTAAAATCTATTAAAAATCTGATGCTGACTATTTTGTTATCTTAGTGTTTTATATTGGAAGATCTAACTTAACCAAAATTAGGTGTCTGCTGTCAATTTTGCCTAGTCACTAAGTTTTTCATACTTATGTAGTATATTAATCTTAATTTTAAAAAATCTGTTCCTTACATTTAATTGTTCCTCAATAAGTTTGAGAATTTTCAAAGCTGTTAATCTGATATGATATAATCAGGCATGTGATTCTTATGTAAATCTCAAGATCGTTGATTTCAGGTTTCCGCTCATCAATAATTTATATTCAAGCATAATTTTCATGGAATCCCATTAATTTAAATTTTGTTTCTTATGCAAAATCTTGTTAATAAGATGTTTATTCTGCTCTTACCAGCATTTTTCTCTTCTCATTTTCGTGCGGACGACTCTTATTAAGCAGACTTGTTTGTTTGCAACTTCAAGAACACAAGGCTGAAAGAAGAAATAAATTCCATTACTTATAGAATTATTGATTTACTAAGAATTATTGATTTACTAAGAATTATTGACTTACTGAGAATTATTGATCTACTGAGACAAACACAAAATTATAAAATTGATAGCCTTAAATATAATTCCCAAATGGCAAACATTTAAAGAATTGTTCGTTAGAAAAAATGGTGTTTTTTAAAATTTATATTTTAATGAGTAGCAATTTTGTTGCAAATTCCGAATTGTAAAGGAAGAATTATTTAATCAATGCTATATATTCATCCTCTTTTTACGTACGCGTTTATATCTTTTTTTGCAGTTAACTCAATTGATTTTCACATGGTTTTTTAAATTCCAATATTATTACGACACACAAAAAATTGGGCATTTAATTAATCACTTGATTTGCATTGATACCATAGTAAATCCATGTGGTGTTTTGATACTATTATTACTACGAATTTTCTGGAATGTTTTTTTTTTTACTTTTTAAATTTCTATAATGTTTATACATTTTTATTACATTAGTCACTTTTTGTCGCGATAATACCACTGTTTTTTTGATCAACAATTTTGCAGTTATCGCTGCTGATACCCATGAGTTTTTTTATCACACAATTTAATTTAAATTGCACTTTGAATAATTCTTCAATCTCTATTTTTAAGCAAAATCCATGCGCCGTTTCAATTGAGCTTTTTTGGCAGTTAGCAATGTCGATTTCTACATGATTCTTTTAAAATCCCGTTAATATTATGATATGGGAAATTCAAATTGCAAACCTGAGTATTAACTATTTGACTTGTTATTTCTATCGTTTTTTATTTTTCAAGCAATTTTTCTGCATTTATCACGATTGATTTTAGAATATTTTTTAAAATCACAATATTTTTAATTCAATGAACGCTCTGGTCATTCTATGACTTGAACAAAACATTAATGAAATCTTGCAAGAAAGCGAATGTTAGAGTGTTCTATAAGAAAAATTTTTACAGAAGTCACTGTAAATCACAAAGGTTTACTCAGAACTCGTACCAAAAATCTGACATCCAAGCAAGAAAATGAACAAGAAAAACATTTTGTTCTGACACCATGGAATGCTTTCCAGAGGACCTGGATCTGATTGATGAAATCATCACATGTGATAAAACTTATATTTTTTAGTCCATGCGCTGGAAGCCCCCACATCACCAAGATCCAAATAAGCTCGAATGAGCAAGTCTAAACTGAAGGTCATGCTCATTCTTTTTTTCGATACTAATGGTATCGTGATAGAATGGGCACCTCAAGGTGGAACGGTAGACTAGCAGTAATACATTGAGGTCCTAAGAAAATGCCAGATTTGTGGAACAACAACATGTGAATTTTGCATTACATTCATTCATTGACTCTGCAGTTAGGGTGAAATTGAATTTCACATTTGAGTTACTTATTGATATATCCAATTTATACAGATTGCATCATAAACCGATGTGATTCTTTGCAAATTATCACGGCAGATTTCCAATGATTTTAGTTTACTTAAGTAATTTAAGTAGTCATTTTTGTGTATTTAAGTAATCATTTTTGATTTGCTTAATTTGTGCCAACTTCATTGCAAATTTAGGGGATCTTGATTATTTTTTTTTTTCCTCATTGCTTTATTACTACACATTTCCTTATGGTTTTAGAAATCACTATAATTTTTAGGACAATAAAATTTTTAATTGCTTATTTTAAGAATAATTTTTTGAAGAACTTTATTTGTTCCAGTTTCACTGTAAATACAAATGATTTTTTGGTATTTTTTTTCAGCTACAGCGTTATACTTTTTTGAATGGTATTTAATGTAATATTATTACAATAAGCAAAATTCATAAAAATTGGAAGAATGCCTGAATTTTTAACTGCTTATTGATTCTAATTACATATCATTTTTTTTAGTTTCAAAGGTTTTTTACCCCCAGAAAAGTTACTATCTAATATTTATTATTCACTAAATGTAACTATTCTAAAGTTGAAGTATGTTCCCAATTTAATGTTGCCTCCTATTTTGCATTATTGGCTTTACATCATTTGGAACCCTGTTAACTTTAATTCAAGTATTAAATTTGTATTTACTCACTGAAATATTATTTTTTTTATTTCGATGGACATTTAAATATTTTATTGTTAGAATTTATTTTAAAATGGATTTTTATAGTATTTAAGACAATAAAAAACATTTTCTAATTGTTTGCTTATGTATGTGAGTATATATATATANATATATATATATATGGAATTTTGTCTTTTTGAAAAAGTAATAGTTTTCATTCTTTATTTAAAGGAATTCAAATCTTTAAAATCTGCAAATATATTACTGCAAAGTTGACTAATAAAAATGCTTTAGTTAAAGGCAATTATGATGCTTTTTATATGAACAAAATAGGTTCTACTATTTTGTTCATATAAAAAGCATCATGATTGCCTTTAACATGCCTAAATACTTGAGCATACATCCCTTTATTGCTCAACCTTTAGACCCTTTTGTCAATGTTAAGCGTCTCTAATTCATGCATAGTACAAAGTATTACCATCCTTATTTGGTTACCATACTTATTATCTACACTATCTTGCTCATTCACCCAATCAAAAAATTTATTATATGGAAGAAAAACTCTGAACTAGGTAGGTTATCATTTCGATTCAATTAATATCCAGCAAATTAATTTCAATTTTACAGTGCAGCCACTAAAATCAGTTTTAAAAAAAATCAATTTTAAAAGTCATGTGGCAATATGTAGCAATGACTGCTGAAATAGTGAATGACAAAACCATGTGGATTTACAAGGAAATTGTGTCGAATTAATTTATTATTGTGTCGAATTAGTATATTAAGTTTTTGATATTTACTGTTTATAATATTTACTGTATATTTGCGTGATTATAAATTCTCAGGCTATTCAAGTAACTAATCTTACTTTTTTTATTTCTTTTATAAAGCTTTTTGCGATGTCCCAGAGCTGATGGAAAACATAAAACAAAATTATGAATACTGGAAGCAACAAGAAGCTCTTAGGCCTCAAGAAAATACAACTTGAAAATTATCAATATTGTGCAGAACTAACTCCATATGAAATGTGCTGTCGCACTAAAGGGACTCTGTCCCCAAGCTCTTAATGTCATCTCCCTCAACAAAAAAGAAAAAACAAAGATTATTTAATGTTCATGAAATACATGTGCTCAAGTGTTGTGTTATGTCACGTATGGCTTCCTATTTCGTGATGAACAAAATTCCATTCCTCTGTCATGGAACTAAAACAATTACTCTTGGTGGAAATACAAATTACTCACCAAAAATGTGTACAGTGAATCTAATGAGTTCCGGGTATTGTTATTGTGCTAAATTATTTATCTGAAAACTTTTACAATTGTTTTTGTTTTGTTACATACTCAGAAATTTTATAGTCATTTAAATATTTATTAGTTTTGCTGCAGTGCCATTATTGATGTTATTTTCAAAAATATCCTTAATTTCTTTATGAAATTAAATCAGTCTATTTTATTTTAACATTTTGATAGATTAAAACTAATATGGCATTTTTTAGTTGCATAAACTTTTTTTTTCAATTAATAAATGCACAGTTATTGAAAATAGTTTGAAAAATTATGTTTTAAAAATCTATTTAAGCAGTTAAAGATAAGTTTAAACAATTAGTCATTCAGTTAAAAAATAAGTTTCAGATGCAGGCCTCACAGTTGTCCTATATTTCCTACATTTTTTTCAAAAAATATGTTTTAAAGTTTCCTATTATTGTCTTATATTTTTAAAAAAGGTTTTACTTTGAATGTTTTCTTGTAAATTTTCAATTTCTGCATTTTTATCACTTATCTAAAATATCACATTATTAATTATTATTTTTAAAACTTATATTGTCCTTTTTAATAAAAACTTCATGTTTGAAACATAAGAGTGTGAATTGGCTACTTTTTTCAGTAAAAGCCTATGTTAATAACTGGGTATGTATGTTTAAGTATTAGTTATTTTGCTAAAACTATATTTTATTTTCAATATCTATTTATCTAGTTAATAAAAAAAAATTCAAAATAAAATGATGTGAATAAAAGTTTGCAAGACATGTAATGCAATATTTAAAAGATACAGTATTTTGCATGGAATATGGAAACTTAAAATTAATAATTATGTGAAATGCAATTTTTTTTCTACTAATTTTAATAAAATTATATTCTATTTTCAATATCTGTTTCATTTAGTTGATAGAGGAAATATTCTAAATAAGATATGTGCTATTATAAATTATTCAAGTGAGACTTCTTTTTCATACCTATAGTTTGCCTTGTTTGTGTTCAAAATTTTAGATATTGAATTTCCTAATTGTTCTTTTCAATGAAATTTTAAAGTGATATAAATGCAGAAAAAAAAAACTTTCTTTTCTTTTAAACTTGGGTAATGTCAAAACATAATAACAATCCAAAAATGTTTTTCATTGTTCAGACTTTAAACAGAGATAATTAACATAATCACATAAAATTGTGTATCCATACTTGTTAAACTCTGATAACTTTATTTGTGACCAGTTACTTAAAATGTTGTGCAGTATTTTTTTGTACAAAAAATTCTATAAATTTTGTACCTTTGCTGTTAGGACTGCATTTTATCCATTTTTACCGTAATGTTTTTAAAATACGTGATCCTTATCGATTTAGAAATTGATCTTTACTTTGAATTGCATGTGCTGCATATACTTAAAACATAATTACTCAAGATATCCTATTAGGAATTGTTGATATTTGTGTAAGAAATTTTATTGTCGTCTTTGTTATTAGTTTTTCCTTGTTTTTAGATGTTTCATATTGAAACAGTTATAAAATTCGTTTTTATTTAGAATAAAAAAAGAAAAATTCTTATTTTGGTCAATTTTTTGCTTTTAAAAAATAGATAGCTGTTATTTTACAAATTTTTCCTGACACCGAAATTTTCCCTGACAATCTCTTGAAGAGATGAGAAATATCTAAATTGATTTAAACAAAAAGATTTATAAGAAAGATAAGATTAAGATTTATAAAAATAATCCAACCAAAACTAAATATTTTCATATAAAAAAAAATAATATTTTTCCTCTCTGTAACTGTTTATTCATTTTAATTCAGTCAAAAGAATCATTATTTTATGCCATTATTCGAGTGAAATAAGTCAGCAGCTTTTTACTGTTATGTATTGTGTGAGTATTAAAAAAAGAAAAAACATTAATGTGACACAATGTTTGAAAATTAGTTCAATAACTTAACTTCAAAATAACTTAATTACAGGTTTTTAATTTTTTTTTTATAAAATTACTGCCTGTTGAGAAAGTAGGAATCTAAGTAATATTCTTGTTAAAAGTATTAAGGAAAAATCTATAATTATTTTAGTTTTCATCAATGCAAAATGTTATATTTTTGTTGTATTATATCAATTTTCTTTTTTAAATTGTTCGATAAGAACATCTGATTCTAAAAAACATTCTGTAACAATGAGAAGTTTTTTTTTTTTTTTGAATTTCTTCTAGGTCTTGTAGTCACTCATATGAATTTTTTAGAATGTGGTCTGTAAGTGTAAAATTGAAAATGGAAACCACCTTAATAAATGGAATATTGATAAAAACTAACAATATTTTTATTTAAACTAATATAAAAGGATTTATGTTTGTTTCTTAAGTTTATAAAACATATTTAATAATTTACTGTTCTATGTTTGAAGGAGGAAATATCATTTATAACTACGTATTTTTATAATATATTTTGAATCTATAATTAGTGGTTTTTTTTTTTTTTTTGAAAAATAGATTTTTTAAATTTAAGATTAAAGGATTTCGTGTGGAATTTTAAGTTTTTGCAAAAGTAGCTGCTGTATTTAAATATATTATTAGGCATTTAAAGATTTTGAAAATTTCTTGTAAATTTTAAAAAAATAATAATATTTGTATATATATATTAGTTTATATTTCCAGTTCTATTCCACTCATGAAATGTTACACTTAATTTTTTTTTCTTTTAATTTTTAACACTTATAAGCAAATTAGCTTCCCAGTTTTAAAGCAAAATAACTATTTAATGAATTGTTGGATATTTAGAGACATTTAATTAAAAAATGAAAATTATAATATATATATATATGTCTATATATTTCAAAGGAACTTGTTATTCTGTGTGTGATAAATCTAAGATTGAAATGGAGCTTCAAAATTTTATGAAATTTCATAATTATAGTACACACATGTCAAAATAAAGTTATTAGTATTTAGCTGAGAAAAATGTGTAATTATGTGTTGATTTTCTAAACAGTTTAATATATTATGTATGTTCTATACATTGTTCAGGGAATAAAAGAAGTCTACTATGAGGTACCAAGAAAATATTTTTGGCGGCTTAAATAATGCCAGTTGTTTGAGTCATTAGTTTAAATAGGATTTTATGAAACAAATTTTTGTCCTCTGGATTGCATGATTATTACCTTTGGTTTCTTTGTACTACTTTTCTATAAACAAATTATAATAGTAAATTATGAACTGTTTATCTATATTATTATTTAATTGTTGAAAGATAGTAAAATTAGTATATTTTAATCAGTCAAATTTGTACTAATGAATTCTAAAAAAATTATTTTTCACTTGCCATTCAAGGATATTTATATTCCAATCATATAATTTTATTTCTTTTATTTTTCATTGGTGGAAAAATATGCCCATACATGTGTAAGAAACTTTAAAATGTAGTTTTTTTTTATGAATCAGATTCAGATTGTTTATTTAAATTTTGTTGATTAACTGTAACAAATAATACCCAACTAAATATGTGATGTGAAAAAATATTAATCCAATTTGGTGTGTACTGCTAAAAATTGTGCATTTTTGAGTGTGATGTTTTGCACTTGCACAAATGTAGGACTAAACACCATGTAGGTAAAGATTTGCATCCATTTTGGTGTACCATTAATCTAGTGTTGAAAATGTATTGCAGTTTGGCTGGCTGATGTAATACATGTTGTCTATTTTACTTGGTTTTATTTAATGCTTATAATCTGAGTAATAGTTTTACAACAAATAGTCATTGAATTTGTTCTGAATTCATTTCTATTAGCTTTAAAATAGAATTTGCTACAATTATTTTTAAAATGTAATGTGTTATCTATGTATTTTTATTTAAATCAATTTCGTTTTCAAAAGATGAGAGAAGCATAGATATTTTATTGAACTGCAATGAATTTATTTAATTCATTATAATTGAATTATTTTAAAATAAAGCTATCAATGATTAAAAGTATAACGTTTAGTTAATGGGTTTTATTATTATTATTTTTAAATAAAGCTGTTTAACATTTAAGATAATTCTTAATTTATACTATTTAACCCTACACTTAATAGTGTTTCACTAATTCTAGAATTTTATTTAATTAAATATTTAGCTGTTATAAAATTTGTAATTAAAATTAATGAAAAATCAACAACATATTGTTAGGAAGCGTAATTAAATTAAATATTCTTTGTTTGCTTAAAAAGAGGATCGGACAGGAAATTAAAATTTATAAATATAAATTTTTTTAAAGGCATCATTAAGAAATTTCTAAGTCCAAATTTCTTGAAATTCAATTTGCATATATGCTTAAAATGAGCAGTAATGAGTAAAAACATTTCAGTTTTGTGATTTAAAAATAAATCACAAATTAATGATACACAATAAAGATTATTCAAAGGAACACATGCTCAGCATTAAATAATCCCAAGAAATTGAAGGAGTGTGATACTACTTGACTAAAAAGTCATAGTTTTTTTAAATCAATAATATGCTTAGAATGTTCAAGTTATTTTATTGGTTGTATAACATTTAAAATGTGAAGAGTAAGATTTCAGCCATGAGCTTTTCCTAACTATTATCATTTTTTTAAAGAAAATTTCATCTGTATTTATAGGAATCATTAGGATAATTGTCAAATTAATCTTTAAAAAACACAAATGAATAAAATGAAACATACAGGAATTTGTATAAAACGTTATTCAAACAATTACTTTATCAGAATAATTAAAGTTGTTTATAGGCTAAAAACATTTAAATTAGTTTTTTAATTAAATTAGTTTTAAACATTTTATTTTATTTATGATTTTAGCAAAAACTTTTCCCATTATAATTTTTGTTTCTTGAAACTTTCCCCATTATAATTTTTCTTTCTTAAAATACATATTGGTTGTCTTAAAGCTGTTATTGTGAGAATAAGAATTACTTTAAATTAATATTATTTTTTATATTTGTGCAAAATTTATCCTTTATTAGATCTTTTCTAGGAACTGAGTAATAAATTAGGAATTATGCTTGCATAAAATTTCTGTGGTAATGAAGTTAAAAAAAATTATCTATATATCAATTTACTCTGGAATTGGAAACAGAATATCAGAGTTTTTCAGAAATAACTATGTATTTGATCCTGTCGAAAACTCTTTAATAGAGTTTCAATACTTGGTGTTAAGTGAGAAAAATAAAAACTTTTGTCCTAAAAATTTAAAACAAGTGAAGAAGCTTTGTTTTCAAAATTCTTTAAGGACATCATATAATTCTTAATACAAGCAACTGAAGTTTCAAGCTACAATTTATGAGTTGGTTTGTAAAGTTAAAGCATTTTAGCTAATTTAAAATTTAAAACTGAGTTTATTATTATTTTAAGTTTTATGTAGATCAGTTTAGTCTTTATCTCATTTAAATTTTTTTTAAGATACCTAAAGTACCTTGTAAACTGAATAAATTTGATTTTGATGTTTCATTTTCATGAATTTACAAATTCTTGCTTAATTTATTTGATTGAAAAATGTTTAAGGAAAACACAAGCTTATTATTTTTTTTTAAATTTAGAAATCTTATCTAACAATTTTACACTTAAAAAATTTTTTTATGCTAAATTCATATGTTACTAATTAATTTTAAAATTGGGTATTTTTAATAAATCTGACTAGGTTTTTATTAGTAAAATGTTCAGTTGTATAATAAAAATAGCTAATTTGGAGTGTGAAATTTTTTGTGCAAAATTAAATTATATTTCAAAATTTTAAAAATATGCTTTTCAATGTAGTGTCTTAGTTTTAAACTAATGGGATTTTGATGCATTTACATACGCAGATGAAAAATTATTTTCTGAAATTAAGTTTTTTATTTTTATTTCATATTGTATATTGAAAAGTGACATCTTTATTAAATATATTTTATGTTAAGCCTAAAATAATAATTCTGATACAAATGTAAAATGGGTTTTATAATGAATCCCACGTTCTTCAAGCCAGACTGTGATCTAACAAATGTATCATTAATGTCATGAAAAAAATTGTCATATCTTTAATTATTAATGGATGTTCTACTGCAGTACAAATATTAATCTTAATGTCATACCTGGAGTAAGGTGTCTTTTGTTTCCCATATTTAAAAGAAGTTGTTCTGATTTTTTTTTTAAAATTAAAGATAATTCACTGATGTGTGGATGTCAGATTTTATTTATATCTACAGTCACACCCTTTTTTGTTAGAAACAAACATATACAGGATGTTCTCTAAAAACCGCTCATGATATTTATTTTAGACTTTATAAATATATAAAACAAAAATGTATGCTAAAAAAATGACTTCAAGTATTCTAATAAGTGCAGACGATATTTAAAAAACGTACCTTCTTTGAATAACATACCATTTTATCCACAGATTCAAATTTTTGACCCCCAAAATATGGTTCCAATAGTTTGGATCCTGTAATCTTAATTTTACTTTTTGGGTATTTCACTATATATCTCGAGGACTTCTTAAGCGAATTAAAGAAATTTTTGCACACAATTATAAAATTCGTTTATCCAAAGATAATTCCATACAAAAATTAACTTTAAATATTTATTTATTTTTGAATTGTAAGGTATACAATTTTGTACATAAATTTAAAGCATTTAATTTTACATGGTAAAATACAAAATTTAACGAAATTGTCTAATAGTTTCTGAGAAAATTGAATTTCAAAAATGTCAGATAGTTACAAATTCGATTTTTCCTTAATTATTCGATCGATTTTGTATTTTGCCATGTGAAATTACATTGTTTAAAATGATACAAAGAATTCTATACCTTAACAATTAAAAAATTTGTCGACCATTATTAAAATGATCTTTAATAATGGTTCTTTAACCTTTAATAATGGTAATCTTTTATTTTCAATTATTAAAATAATCTTTAATAATAAATTATTATAAAAATTATAATAATAAAAAATAAATATTTACTAAAAAATTTTTTTGCATGGAATTATCTTTGGATGAACGAATTTTATAATTGTGTGCATAATTTTTTTTTTGATTTAACTTAAAAAGTTCGAGGTATGCGAAATACGCATAAAGTAAAATTTACATTAAGGGGTCCAAACTTTTGACCGCTTTTCCGACTGAACTATTTGGACCATATTTCCCAGATTGCTGCTCCCCCCTTTATTTTAGGAGTCAGAAATATAAATCCATTTAAAAAAAAAGGTACTTTTATTCAGAGAAAGTACATTTTTGTTTCTGATTTCTTAAATTAAACTATCGTCTGCAAGTATTAATTAGCATATTTGAGGTCACCCCCTCGAGTCATTAAGATTGAGTTTTAAAACGTGAAAATCTGATCATTAGATCAAAAGTTATCCAGGATGGTTCGTTTTCTTTTGATTGGATGGCACAAATCAATAATTAATAAAGGAAAAATACTATCGAATTCTGACAAATCAAAGTGATGAACAATTATTACAAATTATTAAACATATTACAAATATCAAAATTTGAAAAATCTTATGGAAATAAAAAAAAAACGATACATGAATGCCGAAATATGATGGAGAAAAAACATGCGGATTTACGAAAGGATACTTGTGAATTAAGCGCGTCAGAAAGTAATTACTCGAATACGAAATTCAAGCTTTCTAAGATAACGGAATTTTGGAGAATCATATAGAAATGGTAGAAAAAAAATCGTGAATAAGTGCAAAAAAACTATTGGAAATTACGACATAGATTTGTAATGTAATCGCGATTCGATCACGTCAAAATGTGATCACTCGAATTTGCAATTCGCGTTCGTAATACGTATCATGGTAGATAATAAAATAACGGAATTCGAAGAACCACGCGGAAACAGTTAGGGGGGGGGGTGATGATAGATAACTAAACTGACCACAAAAGCTTCTCAAACTTCGTCGAGAATAAACCCTGTATTATATAAGGTGCTATAAAAAGGCTGCCCTAAATATGTTAATTTCAAATTCTTATCAATAAGTAAAATAAATAAATAAAAATGCACATAAAACAATTTAATATTTAAGCTAATTAATATTTTCAATTAAACAACTAAACTTAGCTAACATAACTAAACTTAAGCTAATTAATATTTTCAATAAAGTAACTAAAGCAAATTAATATTTTTCAATTCGTATAAGTTAATAATTTGCTAATTCTCCTTTACCTCCGTAAGTAATTAAAAGTATAGAAAAAGTGAGTTGAGGCTAGCCACGCTGAAGTTTCAAATACTGAAATGAAACTATGAGAGGATAACTTAGGATTACACAATGGGGAAATTCTCTTCCAATAATTAGCTTGCATTTTGATATTTTAATTTTCAGCAATTGAAACTTCATGGCTTGCTTTAAGTTTGCTTAAACTAGCTTTTTCTTTACTGTGCTATGGAGGTGAAACAATATTTGCAATGATAAAATTTATGTCGTGATATGGCATCCTCTTAACTGGCCTCTGGGAGTGGTAATGGGGAGCTCGGTGATAGTATTGTTCTAATTCAACTTCAACTGAAGCTTAAAATGAGATTGCTAAAACATGAAGACTCATAAAAGCTTGTTCGTAAATTGACTATTAAAGGACCTTATGACCAGTAGGAACCTTTTTCGCTTTTGCAATTCGCTAAGAAAACTTATTGTTATTGATCTTTTTGTTTTTTCTTTCAAGATTTTAATCTTTTCGGAAGTAATATATATATGTGTGGTGTGTGTGTATATATATAATTAACGGTATATAGAATTATATAAAGAATACGTTTTGAAACAATTCATCATCTATTTCTAACAAAATTATCAATTTTAAAGGAATCGCATATTTTCTGAGTGTGCAGAGTCAGATAAACTAAGTAGGACATTTTTACTGTAAAACTTAGGTCTCAAAACTGTAAACACTGTCGTTGCAGATAGTTGCGTATGGTGCTCAAAAATACTATTTTCTATTTGAAATTTATTGTCGGTCTCTCAAACTTCTAAAAGCTTTAAGTTTCATTGATATTTAAGAACAATCGCACAACCTAAACACTTCTATAGTTATAAAAGCATCTATATTATATAAAACGCTAATACGTATGTATCAATAAAACCGATTATATTTCTTTTCTCGCGTTGGCAACAGTTTTCATTTTTAATTGATAGGCTTCGGCGCGCAAGAGCACTTAGTGAGCATCATATGGCTAGTCTATATTATATAAACCGCTAATACGTTTTAATTGAAAGGCTTCGGCGTGCAAGAGCACGTAGTGAGCATCATATGTCTAATCCGGTGAATTCTCACCGAATTATCAAACAAATTCTCACAAAATTATCTTCATCGAACCCGATGCTTTACATCCGGCGTTCAGTACTATTTCATATTGTTTTACAACACATGGTTTTAGCCCTCTGGTGGGAAAGACTTTAAAACAAAACTTACAACAGTTACTTTTCTCAACAACTGAAATTTAGAATAGTGTGATTAAGAAAAATATGTGAACTGTTTGCAATTTCAAATTAATATTGAAATGCACAAGCTTAGAATTTTCTACAGTGAAAAGTTTTTGGAACTTCAATGTTCAAAAAAGTATACAAAAGCTAGACGTTAATAATGTATCCAATGAGCGAGCATCGGATTGCGAAGCAATCCGAAATGAACTGCGAAAGCAGTTCCGGGGGTTGGCGAGCGCCAGCGAGCAGGGGGCGAAGCCTCCTAGTTTTCTAATAATTTCTTATATACATATATCCACACTAAATTACTCGCTCCTCACTGCGACATATACCCGTTCATAGGGTGGGCCACATTCACAAATCACACAACATAGGGCAGGAAACATTCATGTCCCGAGCGGTATTTGAATCCACAACCATTGGCTTCGCAGTCACGCACGCTATCCGCTTGGCCACCTGTCTGGCTTACCCAAATACCCACTCATGTTTTTTTTCCCCTTCTTTCTTGTATTTCTAGTAGCCCTTTTTCATTTCTATTCATATGTAGGTTACATTTTTGCATTTGTTTTGAGCCAAAAGTGCATTATTTGGTACCACTTCGACCGTTAGATCAAGCTGCAGATTGAAGCTTTTCAAAAGGCTCAGTTTAATCTTGAATCCCCCAAATTTCTTTTGACACTTTTCTTTTAAATTGATGCGATTCACACTAAGTTATCTCCTATATATCTTTCATGGCATATTAATGCCTAACAACTCAGCTGAGTTTCCCGATTTAATGGAAACTTTTAAAATTTTATATATTTTGTGAAAACCTAGCAGTCTTCATGAAAATCATCAGGAAATTAAAAATGTTTGAAAAAATAATGACTACTGAAGCAAATATTTTAGGTTAATAATAATTTGTTAATTAAAGTAATTAGAGCTGATAAATAAGTGACTTTCAAATGGAAAGTAATTTTTTAAGAATATTTGATTAATAGTAATTGGTTTCAATTTTGATTCTTATTTAAGTTCCAGAAGTTTTATTAGGAATTTTAGCAGGATTTA